CATCCGCCGAGAACAACGACGACGATGCGGACGACCAGGACTGCGACTACGACGAATCGACTAATGGAGGATGACGATTAATAAATGACCGGGGTCGTGTTCACGCGGCGGCGCCCGGGATGACGATTAGAAAAAACCGGCCGCGGGCTGGAAAACTATTTGTTTCATCGCTCTCTCTCCTCCAGTCAGAAAGTTGTGCAGAAACCACAGGAAACTATTTTTTGAACCGGTCTCTCCCATTTTTTTGTGTTAGTCGTCATCCCGCATTACGACCATGGCGGGGTCAGGAGGAGGAGGATGATGATGAGGAGGAGGAGGAGGAGAACCAAGAGGAGGAGGATGAGGAGGAGGAGGAGGCGGAGGATGTGGGAGGAGGAGGAGGAAGGAGGAGGAGGATTCGGAGGAGGAGGAGGCGGAGGAGGAGGAGGATGACGAGGGGGAGGGGAGGAGGATGAATCAGACTTTTTCTACTACACACAATAGTATCATGACGAATCGAAAGACATGCGGGGAGCGATGACAGGCAGCCGCTCGACCACGGCAGCCGCGGGCTCCCTTGCGCGTCTGATGGGTGGGGTCCGCGTCGTGCCGTGCGCTTCGTGGCTCCTCGTGGTGGTTCTGGTTGAGTGGTTGCGTGGCGTCGCCTGCGGGGCCTGCAAGACTTAGTGTCAAGTCGGACCTGTCCCTCTGCAGGGGGAAGAAGCAAACATAGTAAGACAACAGTCAGGGGGCAATTTCTAAAAGTTATGATATCATGCTTGGACTATCGATAGATAGATAGATAGCTAGATAGATAGATAGATAGATATATAGATAGATAGATATATATAGATATATAGATAGATATATAGATTGATTGATATATAGATAGATATATATATATAGATAGATAGATAGATAGATAGGTACATATATATATATATATAGAGAGAGAGATGTATATGTATATATATATATATATATATATATATATATATTAAACTGCCCAACATCCCTCGATAGGGGGACATGCCCGGCCTAACCTGAGTGCATTCCTGGGGCCGCCTTGGTGGAGTGGTTATACGTCGTTGCTCGCCGTGCGTGCGTTGACCCGGGCGCGTGTAGGCCAACGACGACGACGACGACGACGACGACGACAGGAGTCAATACCAAGATTTTTGCGATCGCCCGCTCTGGGAGCATCTTGGAGGCACCATGGAGCCCTCTCGGGGCCATCTTGGAACCCTCGGGGGCCTCCTGAGGCTCCCTTGGGCCTTCTTGCGGCTCTCTCGGGGCCCGCTTGGAATGCCTGGAGGCCGTCTTAAAACCATCTTGGACGCCATCGATCACAGAAGGGGGGGCCCCTGATAGGGTGCCCCCGTCAGGGCCCGAAACATCGCCTCTCGGAGCCGTCTTGGGGTTTCTTTGGCGCTCTTGGGGCCGTCTTGCGCCCCTCTTGGGGTCATCTTGGGCCGTTTCGGAGCCATCTTGAAGCCTCAAAGCCCATCGGAAGCGAACAGGCGAGAAGACAACGCGCATTAGAAGCACACAATGGTTGCGAAGGAGTTTGGCATCCTGGGAGCCTCCTTGGGAGGACCGTGAGGCACTTTGTGCGGTCCTGGAGCATCATTGAGGGTAAGTGGAGGCATGTTGCAGGCTATCTTGGGCCATCTTGGGGTATGTTGAGCGATTGTGGAGGCCATCTTGGGCTCTCTGGGGCCCTCAGCCACCTGGGGCTAAAAAGGATTCCTTTGACACCTCGCGGGCGCGGGGTCCAGATCCAAGGGGAGGGGGTGGGGCGAGGGGGAACCACCTGGTCCCCGAAAGGGGAAGAGGAAGGTTCGCAGAACGAATTCCCAAAACCACTCAGGCCCTTAATGGCTGGGGAGATTACGCAAACGGATGGACCCTGCACGAGAATCGCCATAGGTTTGCGTGAGGATAGTCTTTGCCGCGGCTGTACTTGTGGTTATTGAGGCGGTGGCTGTTGCTGCTGTTGTGGTTGTGGCAGTCTGGGCAAATTGGAGGGCTGGGCAATCTGGAGTGGTGTGCGAACTGCACAGTCTTGCGGGCCGGGCAAGCTGGAGGGTTGGGCAAGTTGGACAAGTAAGCTGAAGAGCTCGGCAAGCTGGAGGGTTGGGCAGGCTGGGCAAGATGGAGGTCTGAGCAAGCTGGAGAGCTTGGCAATCTGTGGGGATGAAACAGCTGGGTCACCTTAAAGAAGCTACTGGAAGCCCGAGGCTCCGTTCGCTTCCAAAACGGGGCCTTAGTTTGGTTGATGTTGATTTTCCTGCGGGTCCTGAGCTGATTTGTTTGGTGTACCACTGATTGGTATGATGGTGGTGTCTGGCTCTCCCCTTTCTCTGGCGTCCCTGGGGATGAAGGGCCCTGCATACATATCCGTAGCCATATGGGCCCGAGGGCTGTAGGTCTGGATCAGCCTGGCCTGCCCCAACCGAAATCTACATGATCACGGTCTAATTCTTTCTCGCTGCCAGGCTGGCGAGGTGCTACTTCGGGCATGGACGTGGCAGTCAAGCTGCAGGCTATTCAATTTTGTTTCGACTGGATTGTAGCTACGCTGGTCGCTGTGAATTGGTGCTACATGTTCAAGATGTCATTTCCGGCCACGTCAAATACCGTCTGGGCCTGGTCTTTATACACCATTTTCCTGCTGTTTGCCCTTCCGTTCTTGAAGACCTCGGTCTTGGACCGGCTGGAGAGCGATGTCCATAACTACGACAAGATTACGTTGCAGGGTTGGCGTTACCTGCTGAGCATCACCTGCGGCACAGCGGTTGGCACTGCGATGACCGGCCTCGTCTCCTTGACGTTCCCGAATTTATCCTCAGTTGATTTCTATGGTATTGGTTCGCCGACAGGATTTTGCTTGGCGGGTACGGTCACCATCTCCTTCATGATGCTACAGTCCAGCATGGAGTGGTTGTACCACGTCGGATTGCCAAGCTATCCCAAGAACGGCTGGCTCAAGTCCGTGCTGACGATCCTCCTGTGCTCGATGTGGAGTACCATAGGTTACGTTTGGAATTCTGTTTGGGACAAGGAGTTGTCAATCATCAATGTGTACGTTGCCGGCCAGTACGCCTTCCTTCTTAACAAGACGGGCACTTCGGCTTCGCAGCAGCTGTCCCGAGGGATAATGCCAGCAGTCTTGGGACAGCAGCCGACGACTGACCAACCCCCTGCCAAGTTCCAGACAATCGACGCCTTAATCTACGCCGACAATGATGTCGATGGTGCAATTACCGCGATGGAGTGGAAGGCCTACAAGGCGGCCGTCACTACGCTCGTCGCGGTGGTGATCCTGTACCTGATACCCGATCTGCCGCACGACAATGACAGACGCTGGTTGACACGGCGCTTTAAGTTGTCCGCTCAGATGATCCCCCTTACCGTGGCGGCCTACGCGACAACCGACTGTGGCTACGATTTCGGCACGGACTACGTGACGGCCCTAACGGGGAGTAGTACTTGGGGCTTGGTGGCCGCGTACGCCTACGCGGTGTTGGTGAGTTGCATCGTGTGCACAATCAGTTGCGTCTTCCGCTTCAGGACACGGACGCAGTTCCAGAAGTGGTTGTTCTTGTTGGGTTGCTACGACGTCAGTTTCGCGTGGTGGTACGTCTGGCAGGAGACGCTCTACCAGATCCAGGGGTACGGCCTGGATGACCTCCAGGGCAAGTGGTACGCGGGTTACGTTTATATCGCCCTCGCGGTCGGTCAAAACATGCTCACGACGCTGTTCTGGGTCATGTGCATCAAGTGGGTGTCCAGGTTCGCGGTGCGCAAGGCAGACGACAGGAGTTGGCGGTGCGCCCAGGGGGGAAGTGAGAGGGGGCAGGCCTTCTCGGAAGGCGGCGTGGCTTCTCAGAAGCCCTCCGGCCTTCTGAGAGGCCCTCTGTGCCTTCGGAGAAGGCTCAGAGCGCTCCTCCGAAGGCCCTCTGCCCTCTGCCCTCTGCCCTCTGCCGCTCCGCAGGAGGAGAGCGCAGGACCTGGAGATGGACCTGAGCGGCGCCCTGGACGGCGACAGCATCACCGACTCCTTCCGGTTCCTGGCCGCCTGCTCGGGCCTGAACATTCAGCGGGCGGTGGCCCTGCGACAGGGCGGAGAGGCCGGGTACGGCGGCCTCTCCGCCCGCAGCACCACAAGCAGCGCCAGCGGGTACGGCCGCCTCTCCCCCCGCAGCCCCACCAGCAGCAGCAGCAGCGCCAGCGGGTACGGCCGCCTCTCCCCCCGCAGCACCGCCGAAGGGTACGGCCGCCTCTCCCCCCGCAGCACCGCCGAAGGGTACGGCCGCCTCTCCCCCCGCGGCACCGCCGAAGGGTACGGCCGCCTCTCCCCCCGCGGCACCGCCGACTCAGTGCGGGGTAGCGGGCCCGGCCGCGCTTCGCCTCGAGATCGTCCCGCGCTGGCCTGATACGCCCGCGGAAAAAAAAAGCGCAAGGCTCCACACGCGCACCCACACACACAGACATACACTGGGCTCCATGCAGCACGGGCTCAGCCCAAGCGGAGCTCCACACGGGGCTTCATGCACGTGAGGGTCCACGCGCATGGGGTTCTGGGCACACTGGGTCGCCCACGCAGGGCTCCACGCACGCACACACATTTCCTGGCGACGCGCAGCTGTCTACCGAACGACGGGCGCATGGCAACGGGACGTGTTTAGCGCGAACTGGTTCTTTGTGAAAGGATGCGGTAAGTCTGAAGGCCAGGAGACAGCGCGAAGGCGCAGGCAGAAACTCCTAGCGGCGCAGGAACGGCGAGGCAAGCGAAGGCGCAGGGCCAACAGTTGAGAGGAGGAGGGGGGGAGGAGGAGGAGGAGGAGGAGGAGGAGGAGGAGGAGGAGGAGGAGGAGGAGGAGGAGGAGGAGGAGGAGGAGGAGAAGAGAGGAGGAGGAGAAGAGAGAGGACGAGGAGGAGGAAGAGGAGGAGGAGGAGGAGGAGGAGGAGGAGGAGGAGCTGGGGCAACCATAACACGGCGCTAGGCCGGGAAGCGGCCGCGGCGCGAGCCGGGCAGCAGAGAGCCAACGGTGGGACACGCCAAATTGCGGGTGTAAAGGGAACAGCCGGAGCCGAGCTGCGTAGGGGTGCGGATGCCGTGACGGGACAGGTGGCAGAGAGCGGCAAAGACGGAAGGGTGTCTGGGAGGCCCAGCGACACCAGCCGCGTTCAGCCCAGAGTTGAACCGTTGAATTTGTTGGTTCCAGACACACACACACTCAAGCACAAAAGGCTTCCTCGCCGATCGGTCGCCTCACACACGTAGGGTTTTTCACAGACATATCGGGTCCCGAACACATCTTGGGATTCGCGCACGACGGGTCCTCCGCCTGGAGGCTGAACTCTTCAGCGTCTACCTGGAGCTTTGCAGGCTTTCCGAACGAATGGCTTGGGACCGAGCCAGCATGCGCTGCAACATGCCCGCTCCATGTTAAAGCCATCGTACAAGCACGGGTCCTGATTGCTTACGTATTCATTCAGACGAGTCCGAGGATGCAAACGTCATCCGCTCGTCTATCTCACAACGGGTCGTGGGCCAGCCCCGCGCACGACTCCGAAGATACGGAGTCTCGTCTCCTTTCGCATCCTACAGGGGGGCCCAGGCGAGCCAGCTACCGACTTCGCAGGATACGGGATCGCTCACACTCGTATCCTGCACGGGGTCCCAGGCGAACCAGTTCACGAAAAGCTTCCTCCCGGAATCAGCTCCACTAAGGGTTGCGTGGGCATCACGATGGGACATAGATACACGTTACGTGCACGCCCCATGTTCGGCAGCATGCTATCGACACCAATCAATGCCGCTAATGCTTGGTGTGACCTTCCCTGCAACATCATTAGGACCCATGTGACTACACTGCCCCGCTGGCGAGGTGTGGGATTATGGGTGGCACCACGGCCTGAATCCATGCGGCTCTCAGCTACTGCAGTAGGTGATGGCAAGAGCGGCGGGGTAGCGATCGATTGAGTCAGCGGTGGCCCGTGCAATCGAGCATTGTGAGTTCACGCGTGGGTCAAACCCTTGCTCTGGAGTTCTTGTGCACGACATGTTCTTGAACATCTTGCGCGAGAGCGTTCAAGATGGCATACTGCACCGCGCCGCCAGGCTCGAACAGAGGATTCCCACCGCTGTTCTAGACGGAGGAGAGCATGAGACGTGCACATGCGAAGAGGAACATGATTCAGAGCGTGAATTACCTACCCCGCTTTCGCTTCCAGGCAAAACCAAGCCATACCACGCGCCTCCTCGTCAAGCGGCCTGACCAGTACAGGCTGCAATTTGGCATCGTTTGGTATCTCTTGGAAGCGAGGGTGGTCAAAAACGAGGTAGGTTTGTTTTTCCCCCTAATGATGCCAGAATTGACGCATACTCCAAACGCCATGGCCATGGCCACGGTGGTTGCCCCCAGCAGACCCACCCGTGGACCCCTCGCACGTCTTTTTACGGCGTGCTCCCAGCAAAAAGCCGGCTGCCCAGCGCACGCCTCCCGCAGCACCCGCGCAAGAGCACGCGGATCCGGGAACCTTTGCAGTCGAGGGCCGCTGAGGAGGAGGAGGAGGAGGAGACAGAGGAGCAGGAGGAGGAGGAGGAGGAGGTGGAGGAGGAGGAGGAGGAGCAGAAGGAGGAGGAGGAGGAGGAAGAGGAGGAGGAGGAGGATCCACTCGCCCTCGGCGCTCACGTGGCGGTAGAAGGCCTGGCCCACGTGGCCCTTGCTCTGAATTGTGCCCGTGAATTTTTCCTCGCTGGCCACTTGGGCCTTTCTCTTCCACTGCTGCGGCGGTCCTGAAGCGGCGCGCAGCCTGCCACCAAACCACGAAAGGCATGGGGTTGCCCTGAAGGCTCGTGGCAAGATCCCTGACTTCTTGACGGTTCACGCCAACTCCCACAAGAGGTGCAGTTGACTGCAGGTCTGGAGTCACTGGCGCAGAGAAGAGCGCCACAGTGGAGGCCCATGCCAAGAAACACCCTGCTTGCCTCTAGGGTGCCCTGGGTTTCTCTGGTTTTGATGGCATTGCGATGGGAACCCTGACGTTCCCCGTCCAAAAATCAGTGGACGCCCTGGGGTCTCAGCGGTTGGGTTTCTTGTGGAAGGCTTCTTGTGGACTGGCCTCCACTGCAGCTGCTAGCAGGGCCCCAGCCTCGGGGGCGGCGCTGGCTGGCGAGCCGCCTGGCTCCCCCAGATCGCCTCCACGCGAAGGTGTCTGATCCCCTTGATGTCGCTGCTGCATGGGGCGACCGTCACCTTGATCTCTTCGACCTCGTCGCCCTGCTTCTTCGCTTGCTCCGTCAGAGCGCCAAGCTCCTTGTTCAGTCTCTTGAACGCGCTCGAGCTCTCGAAACTGAGAGCTCTCGACTGAGCGTCGAAGGACGTCTGCGAGGTGTTTCCTTCCGTCAGTTTCGTCAGCTTCTCCACCGCGGATTCCACTTTTGCTTCGTGCGGGGCAGGGTCGACACCTGCCGGCCGGCTCTGCCTCACCACCGTGACAGGGGCGGGTGCAAGTTCCCGGGCGTATTCGGTGGGTTGCGGCGTAGGGGCCGCTGCGGCAAGTGCATGCGTAGCTAGCGCCGTGCCAGCAGGTGCAAGAGGGGCCCCCATGAGCTTTGGGGCTCCTGCACCTTGCACCTGGGTCAACATCATCCCCATCTGCGCGAGCTGCCACGAGCCCTGCGCTCCTTCGAGTGCCCCCCCGGAACGGGGACACGATGTCGGATATAGTGCTGGCTCTCCCTAGTCCGTGCCGAGGGAAACGTGGACCGTGATGTTGCCGGTCGTACCCTTGTCGGTCATACCCTTGCCGACTGCTCGGGTAGCCCATTTCCCGCGCATTTTGAGAGAAGGTTCGCAGATGTTCGGTGTCTATTCCGCGTTCCCCGAAGCTTGAAAGAAGACGCTGGCCTGCAGATGGTGAACATGAGAAAGGTGTACTTCGAAACGATTGCAAGGCAAGATGACGAGAGCAAACGACTGCACGTTGGTGTTATCATGAGGGCCAGGAGAGAGGAGGTGATACCATAAACGCTGTATGACTGTAAGTGGATACCGGCGCTGGATGATCTGCAGGATTCTCAGACCCATCCGAACCGCACAATCGATCGATACTAATTGTAAGCCATCGGTGCATTCTAGTCTAAGTATTGACCTTTTGATAGTTACATCACGATTGGTAGCCTAGCCAGGATATATGGGCAAAGCTAGTTCACATTTCTTGGTATGGCCTGCAGCGCTGCAAATCCGAATGTTCGTGAACTATGTGATACAATATACCACCGAAAGAAGCACAATTCACGACATCTGCTCCATTAGGATATATATATATATATATATATCCGATTCCGCATCCAGGGTAAAAGACACAAGACCACCTGACGTACTTATGACACATTTTGTAACGCACCGCCTCCATAAACCAAAGCTGACAGTAAGTACATCGTCCACGTATCTTCCAGTCGCCACTGCTCGAGCTCGATCGGCGTATGGTTCATCAGCCTCGTGTTATTGCCTGGTGTTTGTAAATTCCAAAGTGGTTCGCTTGAGGGGCCCACTAATGGGGGCACCCTGCACTTGACACAAGAGCATGTTGCTGAATCGGAATAGGCTAAACTCGACGAACCCTTCGATCATCCTCTACATATGGTAGCGTGTTAGCCTGATGCTGCACCTTTGTCAAACAAGTTGTTGACCGAGTCTTGTATGTCTTGGGAGTTGAGCTCTTCGTAGGCTTGCGACGCATCCAAGACGCACAGCTTGGTGGTATGCATGATGCCGCCGCACTGCTCACAACTGTGTTCAACGCTTCCTGGGCTTGGTTTCCTGAGGTCGGCAACTCTGTCTCTGAACTTGGGTAATCCTGCGGACGAGGTAAGCAACACCACACGATACTTTTCGAAAACGCTTCCATGCGGCATGTGGATGAAGGGCACGATGTTTCGTAGACAGCTGTGGTTTTCTTTGGAACAGATGTGCCGTGCGTCTGCACGGCACCTGTTCTGATGGTGAATCTCAGTTTAGCTTTATTGTGGCGTACGCGTGCGGGAGGTGTTTGAAGTCGGTCCGCGCCGAAGTCTGTCGACTCATCTTCTGAAAAGTCTCCAAGATAGACAGGTACACCTCAACCACGTGTTCCCGTGGAAGCGCGACCAGTTTGTAGCGGTCGAACTTCTTCGAAATCAGAGCCAGGAATATCATCATCGAACATCGCGCGTTTCCGATCCACAATCGATCTGGATCTTCCTCCTCTGGGATGAAAACGACGCCCTGCTTGTCAGTCATGTTGCACCCCCATAGAGCCCCTCAGTCTTGTCATGATAAGGGGAAGCTTCTACACAGGTGCGTTTGAACATGCACGGATTTAGCGGGTACGTGGTCATCAAGGATGGGTGGAAACCGTGATATAGGAGCCAGTGGCGACATTCGGTTGTTGCTCGCCGTACTTGTTGAAGTGGGGGACTGTGGATGTGTCTGCAGAGGCTGTTTTCCACGCAAATCGACACGATGCAAATCACGCGCCATAGCTTCAATTTCAACTCCGGTGCTGGTCACGGTACCCAGTACTAAGGTACACAAGACAAACATGTTTTTTTTTGAATATTGACCAACGATCTCGATGTTGGGTCCATGGGCTTGCAGACGACAGCAAGCATGTCCGTCACGAGTCGACTCCAACGTGATCTCCCGATACGGTCAGACAGAAGCACCGCCCGAATCCATGTCCGGACAGGGTCGATGAACTTTGCATTTGGGGCTTGGAAGCGTTGGCGCCGGGGTCGGGGCAACCATATGTTCTGCAAATCCGCCGCAAGGCACCATTCCGACAAAACGATCCGGAGGCAGAGCTACTTTAGCCCACACCTTGCACACACTATAGGTGTTTCATACGCCCACATCTGCAGTTGTTCCAGTCGGTTTCTTGTGGCTTGAGCGCGCAGAACCTCCGAAGCAGTGGCAACATAAACACGCCGTGCAGGTCGAGCGGGTCGACGAAGATTTTTAGGTGCACCATACCTTGCATCAACTAAGCATACACATCATGGTATGCAAGCCCCACGGCACGGCGTAGTTGCGCATTTCTGGGTTTGGGAATCAACGTCTGCTCAGCATCTCGTTGCAGTTTTTCTCGTAAGTTTGTGGGCCAGATGCTGACCAGGTCGGCTGTTTCAGGGTGTCGCCGACGCTGACGGTGGTCTTTTGCATTCGTTCGTTGCAGTCTTGTTCTTTGTTGGGAAGCTTTTGGATGACGAGGGTGTCGGTCGGTTGACTTCGGACAGGCCTTTCTCGTCTGAGGCCGGTACATCTCCACGAAGGCGGCCTCAACCGTTGCATTCCTGACCGAACCTGTTAGCGGTAGAAATGCCGAATCACTTCAAGTGCGCATCTCCTCTCATCTCCATGAAAGCTGATACAGTCAACCCGCCGAGTGAGGAGGGGCAACCTTCCTAAGGATACCCTTGCACCCTTGCCTCCTCGGTCCATCCTTTGCCGCTTCCGCTGGCCGCGCCCTGCTTAAAAAGCTTCGAAATGGGCGTCGAAGGCTCTTGCATCCTTATCGCGCATCCTTACTAGACTGGTTGACTGTACCGAGACTTTTGTGACATGCGTGCGCAGCCACGTCGCACCCGATATCAGACATGGATGTGTTCGGGAAATTGGGCTGCTCCAGCGGGCAATTTCCCGGATTGCTGTGCCAACGTGCCTCTACCAGTGTACGTAATGTTGGTACCTAGTTGGCCCACGTGCACGTATAACGAAGCAGTTGATAAAATCTTGGGACCAAGCGAGCAGTCACACCAGCTCCAGCACATGATGGAAATGACAAGGACGTGGTCGACTAAGAGCGCTGCACACAGTTGGGCCCAGAACTTTGGAGTCTCGATGGGCCCTTGTCCAGGCCTTATTGCTATAAGAATCAGCAAGGCCGGAATATTGCTAGCGCTGACGTTCCCCAGGCAGGAATGTGTACATGTTTGTGTTTGTTTTCGTGGATTTGTCAATCATTTGGGCGAGGTGTTCTTGGATGGCACGGATAGTTCCGATAAAAGCATCCGGTGGACGGGGTTTCCATCAGGTGCCACAGACCGTCAGAGTGGAATGTTCGTATGTTTCGGGAACATGGTGATGGTTCCAAAAGAATGTTTGCACCCCAAGTGTTGCCCCCAGTTTTCTGAAGGGGCATATGCGCCATGCAAGTCTTGCTGCGCAAACGTATGGATGTCGGCACGTCGTAAACGATTGCCTTAATCGTTTGATCTGAATACATGTGCTATAACATGTTCAAATACATGTATCTCACGTTTTGGGAACGTGGACTCCGACTGCAGGTATTCGGCGGACGACGGTGAGAAAGATGCAAGATGCAGGTGAGAAAGAACATTATGCATATGGGTAATAACCAAAGAAGTGCATACATAATATGTAGCTGATGAATGTGTTGGGACTTCGGTACGCTGTGCCACCGCCCCTGTGGTATGACCCATACCCCCGTGATTGGCTTATTACAATGACCATTGCAATTGCCACTTCCTGCAACTACACTGCACCGGCTCGTGCGCGAGAATGTTGATATGTTGTTTGTTCAAACTTGCCGCACCCCACTGCAGTGCGCGTGTCTGGAGGCCAAGCGCTTGAGCGTCGACCGAAAGCTTTGCAGGCATTTCTTACCAACTGCTTGGGATCGAGCGAACATGCGCTGCAGCACGCCCGTTACATGTCAAATCATCGGGATCGAACGAGGCAGTATTGCTTAAATGTCATTCAGACAAGTCCGAAGATACAAAAGTCATCCACTTGTCTATCCCACATGGGGTCGCGGGCGAACCCCTCACGCGACTCCGAAGATTCGGAATCACTCATGCTAGCGTCCTCCCCATTCTTCATCACCTTCCTCTCTCTACCGCCTCGCACCCCTTTATCATCCTCCTCCTGATCATCCTCTTGCTTGTCGGCCTCCTCATCCATCTTCCTTCTCTGTATCTCACGTTTCATTATCCTCACCCTCCCCGTCACCGCTTCTCCCCCTTCTATTCTAGTCCCACGCCTCTTCCATATCCTCAAACCCCGTATCCTCCTCCTCCTCCCTCGCCTTCTTCTCCCTTCTTTCTCCTCCCTCCCTCGCCTTCTTCTCCTCCTCCCCGACAGGAGCGACGGGTCGGCCGTGGCCTGTGGCGACAACTCGGCGGGGCAGTGCGACCTGCCGGCGCTGGAGGAGGGAATGACTTACACGCAGGCGGGGTCTCCTTCCTCTTGTTTCTCCTCCTCTTTGCGCGTCTTGTAAATCCATAGGAGTGCTCCCACCCCCATCTCATTGCTTGGCTTCCCTGCCTCGCCTCCCTGCCTGACCTCTTTCCTGCTCCTGCTCTTCCCCGCGGGTCTAATCCTAGGCACCCTTCAGCACAGAGGAGCACACGTTGGGTACATCTCCTTGGATTTGGGTGCGGGTTCCATGAGTCTTCCTTCACTGCTTCACTTCCCTGGCTCACCTCCTGCTCCCTGCTCCTCCTCCTCTGTTCCTCCCCCCCCCTCCACTCCGTCCTCCTCCTCCTCCCGTAGCCATTGTGGCTCAAGATCCCAATGCTGGCGGGCACATCGCCCGCAGGCTTCCATGGCATACCTCTGTTCCGAGGCCAGCGAAGGAGTGTTTTTTTAATATGTTTTCCCGCCCTACATGTTCACGCGGGATTTCTCGGAGGTGCCGCGGCCTCCTCTTTTTCGCGTCTGCTGAGCGACTGCTCAACTGGGGGATGCCAGACGGACCCACAGGAAGCCGCTCGCCACGTCGCACTGCCGATCCCTGGTACAACGCTGCCGCTGTGGCCGCTGCAAAAAGGATTGGCAAGGACGAAGCAGACTGTCTCAAGGCCGAGTTGGAACAATTGCTCAAGACCAAAGTTGAACTGGCCAGCACGAAATTCAAAGCAACGGCGGAACAAGTATGCAACGACGCGCAAGCGGCCTTCTTGTCCAGGGTGCAGAAGACAGTCGGCCAGTCTTCGGCCCCTCGTCCTCCTCCTCCTGTTCCTCCGCCTCCTCCCTTCCCCTCCTCCCCCGTCCTCCCTCCCTCTCCTCCTCCTTCTCCTCCTCCTCCTCCTCCTCCTCCTCCTTACCCCTCCTCCGCCTCCTCTTCCTCCCCCCCCCTTCCCTCCTCCTCCTCCTCCTCCTCCTCCGTCCTCTTCCGTCCTCCCCTTTCTCCTCCTCCTCCTCCTTCTCCTCCTCCTCCTCCTCCTCCCTCAGGTCTCCGCGGGGGGCGCGCACACAGTGCTGCTCCGGAGCGACGGCACCGCCGTGGCCGCGGGCAACAACCTGGCGGGGCAGTGCGACCTCCCGGCCCTGGGGGCGGGGCAGACCTACACGCAGGCCTCCGCTCGGCACGAACGACATGGGTACGGAAAGAATGGGCACAATGCCCATTTCAGACAGAAGGCCGCCTGCCAACAGCGGCTGCTGTTGGTTTGGGACAACACTTGCTGTTGGGCATTGTACCCAGTTGTTCCGTACCCATTGCGGGCGTCCAACTCCGCGGGAGAAGGCCAAACAATAGATGTATACAACATGTTTCAAACCTATCTGAAACATGTAAAACTTTGATATACACATGTCTAAACCATGTTCCAAACATTTGGAACCAGGCTTAATTCAATGGTAGAAAGGTTCGAGTGCCCATTGACATGGCATCCATAAGGGCAAATGCTTCGACATACGCACCTGTACGACCACCCCCGGGGCATACGGAGGTCTGGGGGGGTGTGAACCAATGTCTCATTCAAGTGATCTCGCTACCGGTCCCACCGTCGATGACACGCTCGATCTGACTCGATCGATCTCTCTATCGTTCCCACGATCGATCTTACGCTCGATCTCACTATCGATATAACAAACGATATTGTTTTTTTGTTTTTCTCTCTCTCTCTCTCTCTCGCTTTCCTCTATATTCAATATCAGCGGCGTCCGGGGCCCCGCGGCCCAGGGTCGCACACTTTTCCCAAACTCCCCCCCCCTCCCGTAACCGAATTTGCTCCCTGGGCTGCGGGGGCCTTTTTTGGCATCGAGGGGCCCGTTTTCGGAGTCCCGGAACTTTTTCCGGTTCCCCGAGGCGTCCATTTAGGCTTCTGGAGACGGCAAGAAGTCGCCAAGACGGCCCAAGTGCGCTCCAAGCCGCCCAAGATGTCCCCATGATCGGCCCAAGAGGCCCCCAAGATGCCCCAAGGTCGCTCCGCGAGGACCTCCAAGAGAGCCCCAAAACGCCAAAACCATTGATTTCTTTGGTTGCCTTTTACGTTTTCGAGCGGCCGACACTCCAAGACTGCCCAAGAAGCCTCCAACGTCGCCCCAAGAGGCCCCCAAGAGGCCCCCAAGACAGCCCAAGAGGGCTGCATGATCGGCCCAAGAGGCCCCCAAGACGGCCCAAGAGGGCCTGAACAGGCCCTGAAGACGGCTTCAAGATGGGCCCAAGAGAGGGAACGCGAACCGACTTTTCGAGTTTCCCGCCCCCAGAGACCCCCAGGAGGCCCCAGGTGGCCCCCAAGTGGCTCCAAGAGGCTCCAAAGAGGCTCCAAAGATGTTTAAGAGAGGTCCGACAAGCTCCACAACCTTCCAAAAGGCCCCCCGACGATATCATCCCAGCGAACATCCGAGAAGCCTCATACCCACAACCCAGACACGGTTGCGGGATGGGACCAGAACTGCGACCTCTGGTTCGCATTGGGGGCTGGGGGGGCCTTGAGGGCTCCAAGAGGGTTCAGAAGGGGCCCCGGACCACTCCAGGGGCTCCCAAGCTGGCCCAAGATATTCCCAGCAGGCTCCAGAGAGCCCCCCACATGCCCGAACAGAGGCGCCCTCTGCCCCAAGAGGCCCCCAGGAGGCCCCAAGAGACCCCCAGGAGGCCTCCACGACGCCCCAAGAAGCAACCCAAAAAATTTCCAGACAGACCCGAGAAGCTCCCGAGAATCCCCCACCGAGCTCGCAGGAGGCCTCTACACAGACCCTGAGAAGCCCGCCAGAAGCCCTTCGTCCTCCACGCTCCGGAACAGCCCTTCGGAACAGGTGGCCCTGGCTGCACCCCCCGACTCGCCCACCCAAAGTCGAGGCCCGAGGCGCTCCCATGACGCCCGCAAGACGCACCGGGAACGTCTTTTCCGCACACGTGGATCAGGTGACAATGATGTTGATCGTCGGTGGTCCGTCGTCGTCGTCGTCGGTCGTCGCTGGTGCGCTACAGGCCAAACTCTTCCTTGAACTTCGCAGCATCCGCCCGAAAATCACGCATGGGTGAAAGAGAGGAACCCGGAAGACCACATGGAAAAGGTCCCATGGAGATTGACACCGTCTTCGGAGTCGACTAGAACCTAAGCGCGTGCGAAGCGCGCGCGTGGTTCTAGTGGTTCTTTCACGACAGGCATCACATCTCTCTCACCATCGATCGCACGACCGATGCCACCTTCGATCTCAGTCATGGTCTCACAATCGATCGCGCGATCGATCTCCCTCTAGATCTCACTGCCAGTCTCCCTATCGATCCGATTCAGGGACGCCGAGAGGGCACCGACGGGACACGGCCGGGACACCAGCGGGACACCCGCGGGACACCGGCGGGACACCCCTCGGCCACCGCCGCCCAACACCCGCGGGGGGGGGGGGTACTCTTTGGGCCCGGCGGCGCCCTGGCCAGAGGAGGGTGCACTCCATTCTCGGGGGCGGAAAAAGAGGGGGGGGGATGACTAGGGGGGGGGGATTTCATGGCGCGGTCCATGATTTTTCCCCTGATTTCATGGCGCCTCTTCTTATTTCATTACGTCCCGGGCCCCCCCGCTGGGCCGCGCACATGCCGCCCGTCATGATTTGCACCCCCCCCTTCTTGGACACCCCCCTCTTGGCCGCTCCCGACTTTCGCCCGCCCACGCAGATTCGTCTCGCCCGCACGCACGAGGCCAGCACGCAACCGCAACCGATATCCTGGTTGGGGGGGGCCCTCGGTTTTTCATGGCGATCTCACTCCCTTCCCTCCCCACCGCCCCCATCCTTCTCATGCTCCTCCCTCCTCCCTCCTCCGTTGGCGTTGCCGCGAGGCCGTGACGATGGAACTCCTCAGCCTTCCTCCGTTTGCTTATATTTTATTGCGTCGGCGGAGGCCTCCGATGCCCGCTTTTAAAAGACCAGCGGAGAGATCCGGGCACCTCTTCACCCCTCTCACCCTCTTCCTCCCCCTCCTCATCCTCCTGCCTCGCCTCGTTGCACAAAGGGCTGGCGGCTGGTCCCGCTGACCCTGAGACCGGAACAGCTTGCACGCAAGAGGCGGAAGGAAGTTGAGGGCAAGTGGAAATGGCGGCTTCCACGCGAGGGCGGAAACCTGGTGGTTCTCGGCCTATGCCGCCGCTGCGCCTGGGGCCGTATGCCAGAGGCATTGGGGCATTTCGGGGGATCTTGTGGGCCGTACTGGAGAGACCTGGGCGCTTTTCGGAGAAAACTTGGGTGCGTCTTGGGGCCTCTCTGGGGTCTTGGGATAACGTTGGATGGGCTGGCTTCCAGCGGTGCGACAGTGGCGCTCTCTTGGGGCCCGTGGAGGGGCCGTCTTGGGGACCCCGTGGGCCCTCCTGGGTGCCTCTTGGGTCATCATGGACGCCCTTACGATCGATGCGGCGAGAATGTTACACTCATCCAAGAAATTCGGGGATCCAGCCGATGTTGGCCTCTTGGACCGGCCGCGGGGGCATCCGACACGGCGCGCGAGTTTCCCAAGAGCGCCGACGTTGGCCCAAGAGGGCTGTAACGGTTCTAGATGGCCGTTTTTGGTTCGGGGCGTGTGAGGTTCCGAGGGGGGTCTACAGCCGATGGGGGAATCTGAATGTTTTCGTCTGGGCGCCGCCAGGGGGGTGCTATTCCTTGATGCAGGAATGCCCAGACGGTGTGTGTGTGTGTATGTAGTAGCTTGTCTGGGAGGGTGTGGCCCCCCCTTTGATATGAAGGGCTTCGCCCTCTGCCGCTGGCTCTCCCTTGACTGCATGGCCGCGCCTGGTCGGTAGGTGGGCTGGTTTGGGTTGATGGCTGGCTGGCAACCCCTTCACTGCTCTGTGGTCTGAAACGATGGTTGGCTGCTGATGTGGGCGGCTTGCTGGATGGCCAGTTTCTGTAGTACTCGATTCGAGGTGTTGGCCTCGGGAGCGCGCCGCCACCGTGAATGACAGGAGTTCTCTGCCCTGGAAGCGCGCACCCCCAGCCTGTGTTCGAAGACTTGCGGCCGCGGGTCCCGAGCCGGATCCGCAGGAGACGACGGGGGAGCCGACAGGCGCCTCCCGAACGCCTAGCTCGGACAAAGAGGAACGGACAGCCTTCTGCTTCCTAGAGGGAGGTGCGCTTCTGGGCAGCCTCCGTGGCGTTGTCTCGTGGCCCCGGGAAGACGGAGTCGCTGTGATTTACGAGGGGTTGTTGCCTCGGGAGGTGCGACTCCATATTGCAATTTACGAACTCGGCGGTTTAGTTTCTGGGGGAGCGAAAATCCGTCGTGAGCTGCCAGGAGCGGTGGCGTTGGGAACGCGAGCGCGTTGTACGTTGCTAGCGACTCTGGCCTCAGGAGCGCAGGTTTGTTTTGATTCACCGGGGCTGTGATGTCGGGGGCGCACGTCTGTGAGGAGGGAAAAAACACACAGACACAATTAATCGTCGATTCCCCAGAAAATATGGGAAAATATGAGAAGTGGGGTGGGAAAACAAAATCGCAGAAATTATGGGAAAATAGGGTGAATCCTGTTATTTGTGTCTACTTATTTGTGTGTCCTAGACCTCCTTCAGTGAGCTCGGGGGCACGAATTTGCTGCAATTCGCGCATCTCAGGGCACAGGTTCCGAATTCCGCTGAAACGACGGGGGAGCCGACAAGGCATTTCCAAACACGTACCCCAATACAGAACCTGGGGCGTCTGCATTTGCCGACAAGGGTTTGTGGCCTCTGGGGCGCGAATCCGGTGTTTGTGAAGGCCTCTTGGCCGGTGCCGCCGACCCTATCTACGAGGAGGGGGCCAAGCTAACCTAAAGGCGGCCCAGAAGAGATTGGGGGGGGGCATTCTGACCTGGGACCCTCCTGGCCTGGCGGGACCCTTCTCCCCCCCCCCCACGCCCCCCCCCCCCCTCCCCACCCCAGGGCGGGGAAGGGATCAAAGGGAAGGGGCTTCCCTTCGACTGAGCTGCGACGACGTTCCTCAATGTCCTCGTGGCTGGCGGTTGAAGACGTGGGCCCAGGGAAGCTGGGAGGGAGCGGCGACGGCGAAGGCAACGGATTTTTCCGTGTACCAGGGCCCACCCAGAAAGCCTGAGGATGCTAGTTTGGTGCGGTAGACCGAGGGTTGTCGGGCCCCCTCATTCGCGCGGATTTCACGCTGGAGCAGTTGAACTCAAACATGTAAAGTGAAGATCAGGACAGCCTCGTCCTCGCAACTTGTTCGCCTCCAAGGGGGCCAGCGGATCGTGGCATGTGTTTTTGCACTGGTGGGACGGGACAGGGCCCAGGTGGACGTGCTATCGGCTGGCCAGGCGTCCGAGTGAGAGCGCACACGATTGAGAATCGAGTCGGGCCTGTCCCTCTACTCGAGGGATATCCAAAAATTAGAAAAGAACTGCTCTGGGGGCGATTTTTCTAGTATTGTTTGACCGCTTGGGAGATTTAGGATAGTATTTTTCAATTTCGCCCCAAATCCCCCTGTAGGCAGATAGGCCCGACCTATATTTATGAGCGAGGGGGCAGGGGGAGCATTAAGGGCCGAGGAGGAACGACGAGAAGAGGGAACGGGCTCGGCTGCGCACCCCCGCCCAGAAGGAACATCTGAGAAGAAGGGAGCGGACGAAGAGGGATGACTAGGGAAGAATGAAGGAGGCGAAGGGAAGACTTCTCCTCCTCCTCCTCTTCCTCATGCTCCTCCTCCTCCTCCTCCCTTTCCTCTTTCTTGGCCTCCCCAGGGTCCTCATCACTGGTGCCTTGCAGGCGCCGCGGTGAAAAGCCTCCCGCGCGCGATCGGAACCCGTGCCCATACCAATCAATGCGCTCCCCTTCCCTCCTCCACCCCCCACCCGTCCTCCATCTCCAGCCTCGCCCCTCCTTCCCCCCCCGCCCCCCAGCGGTCGACGGCCGATCGCGTCAGCAGGGGAGAAAGGGGGCGGGGGCGGCGAACCGAGCCGGGCGCCCCCCAGGTCTCCGCGGGGGGCGCCCGCACGGTGCTGCTCAGGAGCGGCGGCGCGGCCGTGACCGCCGCCGCCGCCGCCGTCGCCGCCGCCGCCGTCGCCGCTGTTGGCGCCGCCGGCGCGACCGTTGCCGCCGGCGGCGCCAACGTCGTCGGCGTCCGCGTCCGCGTCGCCGCCTGCCCGTCGCCGGCGTCGTCGGCGGCCGTAGACCCGCGGCGGCGCCCCCCCCGCGGTGGCCTCTGCTCAGGAGCGACGGCGCCGCCGTGGCCTGCGGCGCCACGCCGGCCTCGCTGTGCGACCTGCCCGCCCCCAGCGGGGGCCTGACCTACACCCAGGTCGCGAGGGGGCCCCCGAAGCTCCACCGGGGACGCCGGGCCCTGCCCCCCGAGGCGCTGGGAAGAAGCAGGGCGGGGGCGCTGCGCAGTGGCCGGCCTCCTCTGCGGGCCTCGCGGGGCCGCGCGGGGCCGTGGGACACTCATCGGGGACGAGGAGCCCGTGCCCGGGAAGCGGCCCAGAGCTCCAGGGACTTCGCATTGGTCGTCGTTTTCGTAGTCATTCTTCTGCCGATCGGCGCGGGCCCTCGCACCCCGCCCCCTCCCGCCCCCCTTTCCTGGAGTAGGTCTGGGCTGTCTTGGGCGCCTGTTTCGAGCAGGTGGAGTCTCCCTGGACGCATTGCTGCAAACAGTCGCAGTAAGCAGAGGTCCGGAGCCAGACCCCCCCCCTTCCCCCCCTTCCGCCCAGTGTCGAAACGCCGAATAAGAAAACGTTCACTTGAACCAGGGAACACACAATGACAGGAACAAAACAACTCGGACTTCTGAGTTTGTATGTCGATGTTGCGGTGGGGACGTTCGTTAAAGAACGTGCCCAGGAGGCTTCAGACCATGGATGGTTCCTTATCTGATGAGGGCGTCGGTGACATTCATGGCCACGTCTCAGTTTGAGTTCCACAGGCCTCCAGACCCTGGGCTCCTTGTCGAAGGTTTCCTCATACAATGCCTCCGCCGTTCTTTAATTCCCACATCCCAAAAGCGGAGCTGTTGCCGAAGTGGTTTTCCGACCATCCGTGCTTCTCGATCAAGTTTACCTCGCCAGGTTCATGGCGCCAGCATCGCAGAGTGGATTTCGGCCGGAAAACAACAGGACGGGCCCGGAGTGGCCTGGAGAATTTCGTTCCGGATTTCGAAGTGGATGGCGTGCGGATTGTTTGGGGCCATGAGTGAATACTAAACCAATCCACGTTAAATGCACTTCGTTTTTCGCTCGCCGCCTCGGTGTTATGTATTGACTGAGCTCCACACAAGAATCCGCTGCAGAATGTCTGCAAGGTCGGCGCAGTGAGAAGTGGTTTTCCGACCACCCGTGCTTCTCGATCTATTTAACCGCCAGTCTCTCAGAACGCTGGCCACCCGCGACAGCAGTCCCGAGGTTGCAGTGGCCGCCGCTCCTCCATAGAGGGTCTGCGGAAAGGCCCCATGAGGGCCGAGAGGATGTCACAATCGGCAGCCTAGGGCTGCTGTCTTAGCGTGGATGAGCAAATGACGTCATGAACCTCCGAAGCCGAGCGTTGGTCCCCCTCCTCCTCCTCCTCCTCCTCCTCCTCCTCCTCCTCTTCCGCCTCCTCCTCCTCCTCCTCCTCCTCATCTTCCTCTCTCCCCCTCCTCCTCCCAGCCTCATCCTCCTGCTCCTCCTCCTCCTCGTCATCATCACCATCATCATCACCATCAGCATCATCATCATCATCCTCATCCTCATCCTCATCCTCATGCTCATGCTCATGCTCATCATCATCATCATCATCATCATCATCATCATCATCATCAGCAGCGTCATCATGATCAGCATCAGCATCTGCATCAGCATCATCATTAAGTCGGGCCTGTCCCTATACAGGAGGGATAGTTCTTTTTTACTATTGGGACGATGTTTCACTATTTCTGAGCATGTTTGAGTATTGTTTGACTCTGTTTTATTTTTCGTCCAAAATCCTCCTGTAGGGGGACAGGCCCGACCCATCAGCCGCATCATCATCATCATCATCATCATCATCAGCATCATCACCATTGTCATTATCAGCATCGGCAGACGCATCAACATCATCACCAGCATCAAAAGCAGCATCGGCAACATCAGCATCATTATCACCCCCATCACCACATCATCATCAGCATCAGCATCCTCATTATCTTCATCCTCATCAGTATCCTCAACCTCCTCATCATCAGCACCGCCATCATCATCAACATCAGTCTCATCGTCATCATCATCATCATCATCATCATCGTCATCATCATTACCATTAGCAGCAGCATCATCATCATCATCACCAGCATTGTCATTATCATCATCGGCAGCAACATCATCATCATCATCATCATCATCATCTTCATCATCATCATCACGATCATCATCATCATCATCATCATCATCATCATCGGTACCATCATCAACAACAGCATCAGTGGCATGACCATCGCCACCATCATCAGCATCAGCTGCGTCATCAGCGTCAACATCACGATCATCATCATCATCATCATGATCATTATCATCAACCAACATCATCAGCATCAGCCACTGCATCATCATCAGCATCATCAGCAGCATCATCAGCACCAGCATCATCAGCATCATACTCAGCATCATCAGTACCCTCATCAACAAAAACATCTGCATCATCAGAATTATCACCACCATCACCTCCACCATCAGCATCATCATCATCACCACCATGATCATCACCGTCATCGTCATCATCAGCAGCAGCATCAGCATCAACATCACCATCATCAACATCATCATCGTCATCACCATCATACTCATCATCATGATTCCTCCCCCTCCCTCCTCTTCCTCCTCCTCCTCCTGATCCTCCTCCTCCTCCTCTTGCATCCCGTTGTCCGCGCGCCGCCCTTCCGATGCAGTACGGAGCGTCGAGTTGCCTGGCAGCAGCCGGCGGAGCGGACCACTCCCAAGGGATGCGAGGTCCAGGTCTGTTCAGGCCAGGCTCCCCTGAATCCAGCAGTGGCGAAGCGTCCTGGCTCGCCTGTAGCCCTACCAAGCAATGTTCTAAGAACCTTTTGGGGTCTCCACAACATGCTCTTAGACCATTGCTGGTTGAGGTTCGCCTGTTTTAACACATCGGGCTTATGTTCTAAGAACCTTTTGGGTAGGACTATATTGAGATTGTCTTGTTTTAAGAACCTTCATGTCTATGTTCTAAGAACCTTTATGTCTATGTTGAGATTCTCTTGTTTTAACACATCTTGTTTTGGTTCTTAGAACCCTTTTGGGTTCTAAGAACATTTCGTGGTAGGACTATATGGATGCCGGGACGGTCCGTCCCTGCTCAACCGGAGTCCCGACCTCTCTCCCCCGGGGCCGGTTTTTCACCCCGAGCCGTCGCTTGATGGTCCCGTGTGGCCCAGGGAGAGCCCCTGGAGGCCGACGAGGGCCAGAAGTTTCCCGTGGTGATTGCTTCACTGCGCGAGCATGGCAGGTGGACTTGTATCTGTTGTATCTGTCCCGGCACTAGAGCCAGATGAGCACATGCATTCATCCATCGGCGTGAGGCTCGAACCCGCTAAGGAAGCGAGGGTACAGGCAGTGTCACCCAAAGTGCTGCCCGAGCTATCGAAAAATCATCGCTGCGCGCGACTGTTGCCGCATTCCATTTCAGCACGTCCCCTGGCGCCCACTCTTCCGCGCACATGCCTCGGGGCATGATGCACATCCCACTCCCTCTCTTCCTGGCCTCACGCTTCGGCGCACCCGAGGGAGGTGGGGGATCCCAGGCTTGTTATGGAACGCTGGGTGCGTTGTCCTATGACTGCGTGTGTTAAGTTTGGTCTTTAGGGGGGGCGTTCGTCGCCGCGGTTGGGCGCAGCTCGATGAAATTGGCAGCTTGCGCTATGGGCGAGGTTCGGGGGTTCACTGAGGACCGAAGCCAGGCACGCAGATCGTGGGGACCCAGAAAAATAACTTGACTTTTGTTGTTGTTGCTGCTGTTGCTGTTGATATTGCTGTTGCTCCTTCTGTGGCTGCTGCTGTTGTTGAGATCTTTTTTTTCGCAAGAATAATGATGGTTGATCACCCCTGCCCGCTAACCATTTATGTTTTTCCATTCAAGTGCTTCTCCCGGGGCTTGCACCCTGTTTTTTACAAGGGCAAACGAGGTGTCACCAAACTGCGCCCCTGGCTTGCAACAACAACGGCTTCCGGCCGATAGTTCCCTACAATGTATCCCCAAGTCGCGCTCTCGCGCGGGACTTCATCACAATGTATGCAGGAATCGCGCTCTCGCGTGGGACTTCCTTGCAATGTATTCAGACGCCGCGCCCTCGACACTCGGGAACCACGCTCTTCTTGTGGACTTCCGCACGATTTATTCGAGAATCGCGGTATCGCTCGAGACGTCCTCGCGGTTAATAAAGGACGCACGCTTCAGCAACCCGCCTGCTTGACCTGTCCGTTTGAGCCCGCCTTCCCGACCCGCCCGTTGGGGTCTACCCGCCCGATCTGCCTGTCTGGGTTCTGCCAGGTGTCTTCTGCTCCTAGCCCCCCTCCTGCTATTCTCTCTCGTGCTCCATCCTCCTCCCTCCCCCTTGTCCCTTCCTTCCGTCCGTACTCACTTCCCCTGCCGTAGTGGCTGCACGAGATGCACGTTGCAGGTAAGAGAGGTACACCCCTAATGGGGGTACGGTCGAAGACGCAGAGGGCTGGTATCGAGGGTTTGGGATATACGTGATGAATGGCACACGAGCAGGCAAGAGCGAACGGGCTTGACATGAATTATGTTGTTGGTGATGCTGTGGTTGTTGTGGCTGTTGATGTTGGTGTTGGTGTTGGTGTTGGTGTAGTAGTAGTAGTAGTAGTAGTAGTAGTAGTAGTAGTCGTAGTAGTAGTAGTAGTAGTTGTTGTTGTTGGTGTTGTTGTTGTTGTTGCTGCTGTTGGTGTTGGTCTTGCTGTTGTTAGTGTTGTTGTTGCTGCTGCTGGTGTTGTTGTGTTGTTGTTGATGGTGTTGTTGGTGGTGTTGTTGGTGGTGTTGCTGTTGTTTCTGTTATTGGTGTCGTTCTGTCGTTGTTATCGTTGTAGTCGCTGTTGTTGTTGTTGTTGATGTTGTTGTTGTTGTTGTTGTTGTTGTTGTTGTCTGTGTTTGGTTGTTGTGTTTGGTTGTTGTGATTGTTGTCGTTGTCAGTATCATTGTTGTTGTTGTTGTTGAACTCTCATTCTTGAAGAATAATTATTGTTGATCACCCCACACCGGTGCACATTGATTTTCTTCAATTGAAGTGCCCCCCCAGGGCTCGCACCTTGTTTTTTGTCTAAGAAAGTCTTCCTGCTCAAACTAGCCCCCTGCCCCCCGGACTACAACAACAACGGCTCCCGCCTGAGACGTCTTCACAATTTAGCCAGGACCCCCGCTCCCGCCCGAGACTTCCTCGCATTTTATTCAGGAATCGCGCTCTCGCTTGGGACTTCCTCATTCACGAATCGCTTTCCCGGCGCTCTGGAGTCGCGCTTTCGCTGGAGACGTGCTTGCAATTTACCATAGAATAGCGCCCTTGCGTTGGACTTTCTTGCAATTTACTCAAGCGCCGCGCTCCCGACACCCAGGCACCCAGGAGTCGCGCTCACGCTGAGGATTCCCTCACAGATTACCTAGGATCTGGCTGCCCTTCGTGACCCCGTTGCAGCCCTTCGTGACCCCCTCGCTTTGTTTCGTGGCCCCGCTGCAGCCCTTCGTGGCCCCGTCGCAGCCCTTCGTGGCCCCGTTGCAGCCCCTCGTGGCCTCCTCGCTGCCCTTCGTGGCCCCGCTGCAGCCCTTCGTGGCCCCCTCGCTTTGTTTCGTGGCCCCGTTGCAGCCCTTCGTGGCCCCCTCGCTGCCCTTTCGTGGCCCCGTCGCAGCCCTTCGTGGCCCCGTTGCAGCCCTTCGTGGCCCCGTCGCAGCCCTTCGTGGCCCCGTTGCGGCACTTCGTGGCCCCCTCGCTGCCCTTCGTGGCCCCATATATGTATGCCCTTCGTGGACTCCGCTCGTTCGCGCCCGTGGTTGCCCCATATACATGCCCTTTCGTGGCCCCCTCGCTACCCTTCGTGGCCCCGTTGCTGCCCTCAGTGGCCCCGTTCTTGCCCTCCGCGGCCCAATATACGTATGCCCTTCGTGGCCCCCGCTCGTTCGCGACGGTTTTGGCCCCATGTGCCTGCCCTTCGTGGCCCCGCTGTCGCCGTGTGTGGCCCCCTCACTGCCCTACGTGGCCCAATTGCTACATTCAGTGGCCCCATCGTTGCCTTCTGTGGCCTCGCATTATCTGCCTTTCGTGGCCCCCGCTCGTTCGCGCTCTTCGTGGCCCCATACGCATTCCCTTCGTGTCCCCGCTGTCGCCCTTCGTGGCCTACTTCGAGTCCTTCGTGGCCCTGCTGTCGTTCTCTCTCGCTCTCGCTTTCGCTCGCCGTCGTCGTCGTCGTCGTCGCCGTCGTCCGTCGCCGTCGTCGTCGTCGTCGTCGTCCTCGTCGTGGTCGGTCCCCTGTCCGTCCCTCTGGGGGTCGGGTCGACGGTCCGCGGCCGCCCCGCCGATCAGCGCTGCCGCTGGCCAGGCCGACGGTCCGCGGCCGCCCCGCCGCTTGCCGGGGCCCGGCCTGCAGGGAAGAAAGGTATACCCCCCAAAAGGGGTTCGATCGAAGACGGAGAGGGCGGGTATCGAGGGTTTGGGAAATACGCGTTATTGGACACTCGAGCAGATAAGGGCGAACAGTCTTAAAATGATTGTTGTTGTTGTTGTTGCTGTTGTTTTGTTGGTTGCCGCTTCGGGGCTTCCTTGGGCGAGGGCCTCGGCACCACGGCCAGACGCAACTCGGAACACTGGTCGTGCTGGTGTCTGGGAGGGTTCCGGGCATTGGTTTCTTGGCGACGGGGCGGCTGGCTCGATCCAGACCTCCAGCTTTGCGTGAATACCATGTGTACCAACAACGGCCGATTCTGTGCATGGTCTGGTCTGCAGCGTCAAGGGGTCGGCCTCGGACCCCCTGTACCGTCGCACGGCGACCCTCGACAAAAAAGGCCAGGCCCGGGGATGGGATCGAGAGTTTCAGCGCCCGCGCCGTGACGGAATCACGACGTTGGAGGTCTGGGGTCAAGGCTTTGGGTTTCACGCAGGCAGCCTGCCCAGGAAGAACACACACACACACAAAAACACAACACGCACACACACAAGCACAAGTCGCACACACACACAACACACACACACACACACACACACACACACACACACTTACACACTCACACAAACACACACACACACGGTGGGAAAAACAAGCACGCACACACTGGGAAAACACACGCATCAAACACACACTGTGAAACAACAACGCAGACTTTGTGTGTGTGTGTGTGTTTTGTCCACAGTCGGCTGACCTCAGTGACCCCCCCAGGTAGTCTGGGGCGGTCTAAACCCCCTGGCGTCGCCTATGGCGGTGCCCCAATTTGGGGGGGAGGGAGTGTTGAGACCTCGGGGGGGCCTGCCGAGACGGCTTGGGGAGCCTGTTGAGGCCAGCTGGGACTGCCTGGGGGGCGGGCTGTCTGCGCGTAGCCAGGAAGAGGAGGAGGAGGAGGAGGAGGAGGAGGAGGAGGAGGAGGAGGAGGAGGAGGAGGAGGAGGAGGAGGAGGAGGAGGAGGAGGAGGAGGAGGAGGAGGAGGAGGAGGAGGATGAGGAGGAGGAGGAGGAGGAGGAGGAGGAGGAGGAGGAGGAGGAGGAGGAGGAGGAGGAGGAGGAGGAGGAGGAGGAGGAGGAGGAGGAGGAGGAGGAGGAGGGAGGAGGAGGAGGAGGAGGAGGAGGAGGAGGAGAGGAGGAGGAGGAGAGGAGGAGGAGGAGGAGGAGGAGGAGGGAGGAGGGGGAGGGGGGTGAGGATGAGGATGAGGAGGAGAGGAGGAGGAGGAGGAGGAGAAGGGGGAGGAGGAGGAGGGGGGAGGAGGAGGAGGAGCGGCTCCTTGCCAATGCAGGTCGCAGCGGGGTACAACCACACCATCCTGCTCCGGAGCGACGGCGCGGCGGTGGCCTGCAGCCGTGGGCACGACGCAACGGATGGGCAGTGTGTCTTCCCAGACTTAGGTCGGGCACGTCCCTCCACGGGAGGACTATTCCCAAAAAGTCCAACAATAGGGTGGGGACGGTTTTTAGTATCTCTGATTATCTGTTTGACCATGTTGTTGCCCACTATTGATGTTTCGTCCACACTCCGCCTGTAGGAGAACTTGCCCGACCTATGCCAGCTCTGGACGAGGGTCGCGCCTACACACAGGTTGCTGCGGGAGGCCTCCACACGGTTCTGCTCAGGAGCGATGGCACTGTGGATGCCTATGGCCGCAGAACGGACGGGCAGTGTGATATCCCGCCCGCTGGCGAGGGTCTTGTCTATACGCAGATTGCCGCAGGGTACAACCACACCGTGCTGCTCAGGAGCGATGGCACCGCTGTGGCCTGTGGCCGCAATCGAGATGGGCAGTGTGCTCTTCCTGCTCTTGATGGGGGCATGACCTATGCACACGCTGTGGCTGGAGGCCTCCACACCGTGCTTCTCCGGAGCGATGGCACGGCCGTGGCCTGCGGCCGCAACGAGAACGGACAGTGCCACTTGCCGGCGCTGCACGCAGGTCTCACTTTTGCGCCACGCCTGCCCCGACGACTGGTCCTGCAGGCATGGTTGGAAGGCACCTCGCTGCGCTTCGTAACCATGAGTGGGGAGGACCTCTGTCGCCTCCAGAAAAGCAACGAGGTGGCATGCTCACAGACGTTCGCAGGTCCGATGTGTTTCTTGGACCAGCGCTGGGCCCTCCGTGGCGGCGCCTCTGGCGCCGCTCCTGGCGCGCCCCGCGCGCTGGGCAAGGGGGGGGCCCAGCGCTGACCCCAGAACTCCGCGCGGACCCCCGAAAGTCATGGTGTGGGTTGCAGCCGTCTCTGCTGTTCTTCTGCGCGTCGATGCGGCCCCCTGCGCTCGCCTCGCAGCGATACCTGGGTGCTGCCGGTGCTGCTCCTGGCCCAGGGCGTGTCCAGGAATATCCCGGGCAGGCCCAGGGGGATGCCACAATGGCGCGAGGATCTCGAGACACCTTGGGCCAGGATCATGTCTGGCAGCGCCCGAGATACGCGACCAGATGGCGGCGCGCGTCGAGGGTATCCGTGGCTCCGCGGCCCCGCAGGTCGACGTCGTCTTGCCGGATGGGCGCCTGCTCAGCGACGCCCCCGCTGAGGCGACCGTCGCCAGCGCGTTCGGCGCGCACCCTGCCCCCGAGTCCGGCGGCGGACTCTGCGAGCTGGGTTCCGCGCAGTCGCTGCCAAAAACCGCAGACCCGGAGAGGGGAGGGGGTTTGGACGCCCTCATTGGTCGCAACGGAAGGGCAGAACGGACCGCCGGAAAGAAAAAGGAGAGTCGGGTAGCAGACCAGCCAAAGCTTCGAAGAGGAAACAACGCCATCACCATAAACTTTTGGCGCTCCTCGCGGTTCTTGGGGCCCGATGACGGGCCCTGGAAGCCTAAACCGAGGAGAAACACGAGTTGTTGACAAGTCATAGCAGCTAGCGTGGACCGAAAACAGTATGTTATTGCAGTATGGATGTGTGACCTGTGGACCTATGCAATCCCTCAGCGAGACAAGTCAGATCCCTGAGATCTGACTTCCCGAGCAAATCGCAACATCGCGAGAATCACGACCAGAGCCCTGGACCAGGGCCCTGGGGCCCGAAAGAAGGCAACGTCCCCTGGTGTGAAACAAATCGCAACCCCAGGATCCCGCAAGTGATCGTTTTTGTTATTCATTGTTTTGCCGATCCGCGCGGGCCCTCGCATCCTCCCTCCCCCCCCCTCTGTGGTGGAGCTTGGCCGTTTTCGGCATCTGCTTTGAAGCGGGTGGAGCCTCCCACCATGGGACGCATTCCTGCAAACAGTCGCACCACAGCAGAGGTCCGGAGGGCGGCCGCCGGCGCCGCATGCTGGAGGGCGCCTCAAGTTGGGCGTGTCCTGTTACAGGAGGAAGATTCAAAAATAGTCAAAAAAAGTAGTCTGGGGACGATCCTTTGAGTTTATTTTGTGGCATTTTTTAGTTTTTAATGCCGAAATCCCCCTATGGGAGGGCACGCTCGACCTCAACGGCGCCCCCTGGGCTTGGCATCGCTCGGACGTGTGCATTTTTCCTTCGGCGAGGACCATCGAGGAGCATCCTTGATCATTTGGCGAAACAACCACGCACGAAACCGACAAAAACACAGGGAATGGACGTCCGAGCGATGCCCCCCGCGCGCCGCCTTCGGGAGATGGCCCCGGGTGCCGGCTGCTCTCCCTATAGGGCCCGAGTGGGGAGGCCCGCCGCTCCGGTGGGGGCAGAGGCCACGGCTCTGCGGTCCTGCAGGGCAGCACCGGGCGGGTACCGTCGGGGCCCTGAAGAGGGAACCCTTTTCGTTGGGGAGGGGCTCGGTGTTCCTTGATTGTTCCACAGTTTGCCTTCTGTTTTCCTGAGGTTTTCCATGGGAAGTCGAAGTTCAACTTATGGGAGAAGGGGGCCCCGTTCCTTATATAGGGTTCCTTAGGTCAACGCCCCGACTGTAGCCCTTGCGCAGGAGCGGGCACCGCCCGCGCCGCGAGTAGGGGTCCCGGAGCCAGCCCCGCTCAGAGGCCGGCGGGGGGCATCGAGGGAAACATCGGGGATTAAGACCCAGACATCGGGCGTCTCGAAAAAATCGAGACGAAGGTTTTTCACTGTTTTTGGCCTCTCGGGACCCTCGCCGGGCCTCGGGACCGTCAAAAAACGACTCGGGATGAAAAACCGGTCCCGGGGAAGTGGTCGCGAGGTCGGAGGCCCGTGTCTCGAAAAAATCGAGACGTCGGATGTCTGGGAAGAGACGGGGGTCAGTGCAAACGGGGGTCAGACAGGGCACCGCATCCTGCAGGATCCTGCGAAGACCCCCTCTGGCTGACCCGGGTAAGCGAGCCGCTCGTGGCCGCGAGGCGGCCGCGCATAATGGCCGACCCGGGTTTGCGAAGAGCTGCATTGCAGTTGTTTGTTTCTGCATTGCAGTTTTTTGGTTTCCTGCTGACCCGGGTCTGGATTGACCCAGGTCAGAAGATCCCCGAAAGCAGCACGCGGACGAGGACCAAGATGTCGCGTGTACCTCTCACCCACTCACTCTCATGGCGGACTTGGTCGCAGACCTGAAGCCATCCCAGGCCGCTCCCCAGAAAGTATACAGGGGCGCAAGGGCCGGTTCTAAAAGGTGGCGCCACCAAACGTCGCGGGTACCTGCTTTACCTTCTCCTTCTCTTCCACCTCCTCCTCCTCCTTTTTCCTCCTCCTCCTTTTTCCTCCTCCTGCCTCCTCCACCTCCCCCCCTCTGCCCATGGTGCCGAAGCGCCGAAGAAGAGGACGCTCGCCGAGCACCCGTTCGGGGCACGTCCTTCTCGTCCGCCTCCTCCTCCTCTGTTCCTCCTGCTCCTCCACGTTCCTCCTCCTCCCTCCTTCCCTTTTCCCCCCCCCCAGGAGGAGGAGGAGGAGGAGGAGGAGGAGCAGCAGGAGGAGCAGGAGGAGGAGGAGGAGGAGCAGGAGGAGGAGGAGGAGGAGGAGGAGGAGGAGGAGCAGGACCCCCCTCCGCCCATGGTGCCGAAGCGCCGGAGAAGAGGACGCTCGCCGAGCAGCCGCTCTCGGGGCACGCCGCCGGAGCTCCTTGGAGGCGCTCCGCAGGCCTCGCCTCCAGTGCGGGCACGTCCCCCAACAGGAGGAACACTCAAAAGTAATCGAACATTTGATGCCTATTTCTTATGTAAGGAAACGACACTTCACAGGATAACAATATCAAAGCATTGAACATAATCGAAAAACTCATGTCTATACCAAGTACATGATACGAAGCAAAAGTAATTAATCCAAATTGCTCTTGAGTTTGATGTTTCAGTCACCTTTTTACTCGTTTTGAGTTGTTCTTCCAAGTCCGCTCTGGGGTCCCCAGAAGGGGGCGGTGACCGCACCGCGTGGTGAGTCGGTGGGGATGCGGGGCCACCGCACGATTTTGGGACCCGCGGGTCGTTCTCCGAGGATCTCTTCGGGCGACTGGGGCAGCCGAGGTCCCCAGAAACCGTGCGTGGACGCACCGTGCGGTGAGGACTTGGGGGATTTCGAGGTCACCGCACGGTGTGTCACCACACCGTTTCGGGATTCCAAAGTCCGCCTGCAGGATTCAGTCGGGCCTGTCCCTCTACAGGAGGAAAAACCAAAAATTGTCCAAAAATCGTCTGGGGACGATTTTAAAACTATGTTCTGCATTATCGGAATTGTTTTTGAATTTCTGTATTTTTCATTTTGCGCCCAAGATCCCCCTGTAGAGGGACATGCCCGACCGAACTCGAGGCGCGGGGGGGCGGCACCGGGCGCCGCGCCCGCCGCGCGACCGCCGCGCGGGCCCCCGGAGGCCGGCGGCCGCCGCGGGCGCCGCCGCCTCGCCCGCGGGCGCCGCGCCCGGCGAGGGTGCCGCCGCGTCGCCCGCTGAGGCGCAGCCGGAGGCCGCGGCGGGCCGCCGCCGCCGTCGCTCGGGGGCGGCAAAGATTTGGACCTCCTCCTCCTCCTCCTCCTCCTCCTCCTCCTCCTCCTCCTCCTCCTCCTCCTCCTTCTGGGGGAATACGCAGGGGGGCCGGCTGAGAGGGCAGGGAAAACGTCGACCCAGACTCGGGGCCGCATCGCCGACGGGCTGGCGAGGGGCCCTCGAGGGCGACGCCGCCTGCTCGGGGGCGGGGCGGGGCATCCAGGCCACGATGGGCGATGCATGGGCGTCGACGTCGCCGTCCCCCTGGGCCATTTGGACGCCCGAAATGGGCATGGAAAAAATGGGTACAATGCCCAACGACAAATGTTGTCCCAAACCAAAAGCGGCCGCTGTTGGGCGGGCGGCCTTCTGTCTCAAGTGGACACAGGCCGCGGCGTCGCGGACAGCGAGTCCTGTTCAAAATGAACAGGAACTGCTGTTGGACATTGTACCCATTCTTTCCGTACCTATTTCGGGCGTCCGAAAAAGAGGGGGGCGATGACCAGGGGGGGTGGATATCATGGCGAGGACCAGGATGTGTCCTCAGATTGCATGGCGCCTCTTCTCACGTCCGTGCGTTCCTGCCCCCCCGCCCCCCGGGCCGTCGCTCGGGGGCGGCAAAGATTTGGACGCCCGAAATGGGCACGGAAAGAATGGGTACAATGCCCAACGACAAATGTTGTCCCAAACCAACAGCGGCCGCTGTTGGGCGGGCGGCCTGTCTGTCTCAAGTGGACACAGGCCGAGCAGGAACTGCTGTTGGACATTGTACCCATTCTTTCCGTACCTATTTCGGGCGTCCCAAAAAGATGGGGGCGATGACCAGGGGGGTGAATATCATATCATGGCGAGGACCATAATATGTCCTCAGACTCCATGGCGCCTCTTCTTATGCCAATGCGTTCTTGCCCCCCCGCCCCCCCGGGCCGCGCGCGTGCCGCTGGCCACGATTTGCGCCCCCCCCCCCCACCCGCCCTCTTGGACGCCCCCCTCTTGGCCGCCGCCGCTGTCGCAGCTGCCGTCCTCGCACTCCCGTTGTGTCTCGAAGAAAACGAAAAAGACATAAGCAGAACGGTTATGCTTATTCCTTTTTGTCGGGCATGTCCTTCTACAGGAGGTATATATTCAAGAAATAGTTTTAGAAAAATAGTCTGGGGACGACTTTTCTATTGTTTGTGATCATTAAACGGGATGTCTGGGGTATTTTTAATTTTTCGCCCAAAATCTGCCAGTAGGGGAACATGACCGACCTGAGCCTAGGCCTCCTAGATGGGGTCGGAGTAAGATAGGCTCGATGCGGAGCCCGTCTTTCGCCACGCCGACGGCGCCAATGCATTGCCGATGCTTCGCCGGTGCATCGCCAATGCATCGCAAATGCATCGCCAATCCATCGCCGATGCATCGGCGATGCATCGGCGATGCGGCGCGATCCTTCGACCCCATCCACTTCGACCCCATCTGGGAGGCCTTCATGCACGGTGCAGAATTCCGGATCCTGCCGGGCGTGGCCCTCTTCCGTGGCGCCAGATTCTGTGTCTTCCTGGGCGGACGCCGCCGAGAGATGTCAGCTTCGTATGCGCAGTGCATCTCTGAGGGCTAGCCGCAGAAGTGAGCAGTCGGAGCTCCGCGTGGAGTTCTGGGCCCCGTGCCGCAGCCCCCTGGTGGCGCCTCCGGCGCGGCCCCTGGCAGGGGGATAGCGTGCACACATGGGGCCCACGCGGGGGAGCGCGTTGACAGAGGCAGCGCGCTGTTCGTAGACCGACGTGTTGCACGCCATCTTTCCAGCGCCAAGCGTACGTGCGGGGGTCGGCAGAACCCCCACCGTGCCAAGTGGATTCGCGAATTGCCCTTTCTCGGTCCGCGGGAGGCCGTGGCGGCCGCAGCTTGATGTGGGGCTGCGACCGCCAGGTCTAGTCCTCCGGCCGCTTCCACTAAAGGGCGTTTTGCTGAAGGGGGATCTGTTCGGCAGTCGCGGCGTCAAACCTCCTGATCCCCCTGCTTCTCCTTTAGGGGCAGCGTGAAGGGGGGGATAGGCTCGGGGGGGGTGCATCGCTTCCGAACTGCCCATTCATCGCCGAAAGCGACATGATAGCCCACCCGCCCAGGAACGCCTGGATTCGCTATCGGGGGCCCAGCGCCGTCTATCGGCGATGCGTCGCCGATTCTCGTTCGATGTCTCCCCCCCTGAGCCGGTTCCCAATAAAGTTCGCTTCGCTCCAGTTCCATTCCAGGCCTCGCCCGAGTAGAAGGGGGTTCGGGGGATCGCGCCGCATCGCCAGTGCATCGGCAATGCTCACCGAGGGTCCCGAGTTTCTCTATGCCGACGGCGCCGGTCCATCGTCGACGTCCCGATGCATGGCGATGCTTCGTTGAAGCGGCGCCATCCTCTGACCCCGCATGCGGGAAAATGGAAGACTCGAGTAAGCCGCAACTCGGGTTTGCCGACAGTTTTTGACGAGCGCGTCTTGGATTTTGACGATCCAGTTTTCGTGGGATGTTTGCAGCGGGAGCTCGCGTCAAATTTTAGTTTTGGCCTCGTCATTTTTATGGTGGCCCCGTCAGGCCAACTCGAGTCCCCCGTACCTGAGTCTTACGTCTCCCAGACATATCTACGGACCCTATCAGGGAGGCCTCCACTTATCCTCCTCCTCCTCCTCCTCCTCTTCTTCCTCCTTCTCCTCCTCATCCTCCCCCTCCTCCTCCCCCTCCTCCTCCTCCTCCTCCATGTGGGGGGCCTCCTATCATCCCCGTGCTGACGAAGCACCTCCTCTCGCACCACCAGGCGTGTCCGTATTAGGCCAGGCCCCGCGTGCCGTTGGAGGCTTTTCCTTGCCGGGTGTCCTCCTTAAATCCGACTGCTACAGTCTAGTCGGGCTCTACAAGAGGAATCAAAAAATAGTCAAACAATAGTTTGGTTGGAGACGATTTGTCATTTTTTTGATTATTCAAAGGGTGTTCTGGGGTATTCTTAATTTTTCTCAGAAAATCCGCCTGTAGGGGGACACGCCCGACCTAAGTCTAGGCCTCCTCGATGGGGTCGGAGTAGATGGGTCGGAGGATCGCGTCGCATCGCCGATGCACCGACGATGCGGCTCGATGTCGAGCCCGATTTCCTGCACGCGGACGTCGCCGATGCATCGCCAGTGCATCGCCGACGCATCGCCGATGCATCGCCGATGCATCGCTGACGCGTCGCCGATGCATCGCCGATGCATCGCCGATATATCGCCGATGCGGCGCGATCCTCCGACCCCACCTACTCCGACCCCATCTAGTCTAGAAGGCCTCTATACAGGTATAGAGGGCTAGTCGTTTCCATTGTGCGACTCTTCGCGCACAGTCGTCTCAAGAATTTTGCAGCAGCCACAAGGAAGAAGGCAGTTATGTTTTCTGGATGGGGCTCCCGCCTGAGGCTTCTTCAATCACATGACCCGAGATCCCGAATTGCGCAGCAGTTACGGGATTGGAGGGCACCTCCTTTTTAGCATGGGGTTCCCGCTGATGATTTCCAGCTGATTGTGACCACAGTTTGTAAAATCGTGGGGCACGTCAAGGGATGGAGCACACATCAATTTCAGACGGGGCCATCGCTTGACAGATCCTTGAGATTGAGCAGCCTGCATACACCCATCGGTCGTTGAAAGTGTGTATTTCTGAGATCCCAGATTCCAATCTACTTCAAGAACCGCCTTCCCACTTCCATGATCGAGTGGCTTCACCGTATACGTCCTCTTCAGGGGGGCGCGCGGACGCCCAGCCTATCTTCACCGCCCCACTACTCCATGTTCCTACGTGCTTCTTCCGACCGAGGGGCACACGGTTTGAACCGCTGGAAGGATGGAGCACCTCCCTAGGGATTGAGGACAGATCACTCTCAAATGGGGCTATCGTGTGTGATCGTTTTTCTACTCATTGTTTTGCCGGTCGGCGCGGGCCCTCGCCCTCCCCCTCCCTCCCCCCCATGGGGTAGATCTTGACTGTTTTTTGCGCCCGCTTTTGGCTTTTTGGAGTCTCTCCCAGAGGCCGCACGCTTCCAAACAGTCGCACTAAGCAGAGGTCCGGAGCCAGCCCCCCCCCATCCCCCCCCTTGCTGTCCAATGTCCAAACGCCGGATAAAACAAAAAAACGCTCACTTTGATAGGTCCTCGAGTTTTAGCAGCCTGCCTTTACGCGGTTCGACCCGCTGGAAGGACAGAGGGCAGAGATGCTTCCACGGCGGGGTCTCGCGTGGATGGACAGGCCCACGTGGGCGGCGCTCGTACCGAAACTCCACGGGGGGCGCTTCCCGCAGGTGGAACTGGGCACCTGCAGGGATGGCGAGGGGGCGCGGGACTGGAAGGATGTAGCGCGGCATCGTTGATACACTCTGGATGTCTGCTGGTCCTCCTCCTGCTCCTCACGCTCCTCATGCTCCTCGCGCTCCTCCTTCTCCTCCTCCTCCTCCTCCTCCTCCGCCTCCTCCTCGTGCTCCTCATGTTCCTCCTCCTCCTCCTCCTCCTCCTCCTCCTCGGGAGGAGGGGGAGGAGGAGGGGGAGGAGGAGGAGGCGGTCCAGGACAAGGAGGGTATCGGGAGGAGGAGGAGGAGGAGGAGGAGGAGGAGGAGGAGGAGGAGGAGGCGGTCCAGGAGGATGAGGGGAAGCGGGAGGAGGATGAGCAGGAGCAGGCCGAACGGCGGCCGTTCGATGCGTCACTCACCGCTTACATGTTTGACCAGTCTTGCTCCACTAGACCGGCAGCGGGCACCACCAGCGGCGAGTTGCTCGTTTCTACATTCATTTCTCTGCACTCACTGGACACTCCAAGTAGCGCGTCCAGTAGCAGCAACAGGTGGCCCGCAACGACTACCCATTCTTTGCGGTTCCCACTCAACCACTACCTGGCGGCATCATACTCCCACCCTGCGAGTACCCTCGTGGCCAGCACACAGCACAGCATGCACGGCGAGCACAACTACAACAGGGTATGCCATGAAGTGGGTCCAAGGTAGTACAGGGCTCTGGAACGCCTCATTGGTGGTCTTGAGGGGGCCTCACCCAGCCCACACTCCCTCCTGGCTCACCTCCTTGCTGCCCCCGCTCCCCTTAGCTGAAGCCCCACGAGCCTTCACCGACCCACTCGTGCGGGAGGCGGAGGGACGGATGGGATCCATAGGGGGGGGGGGTATGGGCGAACTCACCGACGGCTGGCCCTGGCGCTGGCCAGGGAGGCTGCGGAGCGGCCGCCACTTCACGCCAGTTCACGCCTCCCGGCCCACACCCGGTGGACTCCCCACGGCGGCCCCCAGCCGCCCTACCTCGGGAACCCTACGCCTGCCTCGCGGGTGAGGGCTACCTTTTGCGGGACTGTGGGCCGTCGTTTCGGGCTCCCTGCGGTCGAAGAAGAAACATCGCCATGAACATAAGCTTTTGGCGCTCCGCGCGGATTTAGTTGGATCCGCTCCGGGCCACCCCTGCGGCGCCTCCGGCGCCGCCCCTGGCGCGCTCCGCGCGCCAGGGAGGGGGGCCTCGCGCGGATCCAAGAAATCCGCGCGGAGCGCCAACAGCTTCAGTTTGTGGCGTGTTGTCTTCTTCCATGTGGGCATGCGGGGAGGTCCTTGCGTCTTCCACCTTGGCGGGCGTGCCGCTTTGCCACCACCAACGCTGCGCCTGCTCAGCGCCATCCCCTTGCTCTGCCTCGCACCGCCACGCCGCGCGCCTCCACTCCACCGCTACATCCCCTCCCTGCTTTTGTACTCCTTCGAGGTTGCGGTGACATGCTCTCCTTCTTTCCTCGTCCTTCTTCGTGTTCTGTCGCGTCCTTTTTTATAGTTATTCCTCACCCAGCCGGGTGGGAAGACCCACCTGACTCACCCGCTCGATTCACCCCCCCGGGCCCATCGGCCCTGCAGTGAGGGGAGGCAGCGTTCGACTTATTGTCTAGGCGTCCGTGCTCCGGCAGGGGCAGGAGGAGCAGCAGCGGAGGGCGGGAGCTGGGAAGAGGGAAGAGGAGGAGGAGGAGGAGGAGGAGGAGGAGGAGGAGGAGGAAGAGGAGGAGGAGGAGGAGGACGACGATGAGGAGGAGGAGGAGGAGGACGAGGACGAGGAGGAGGAGGAGGAGGAGGAGGAGGAGGAGGAGGAGGAAGAGGAGAGGGGAGGAAAAGGGAGGAGCGAGCAGGATCGATGCTTTGGGGTTTCACTGCCCCTTCCTGGGCCTCCAGGAGACTCCAAAGATCTCCGAGGTCTCGGCGGAGAGCTTTGCGATCCTTCGGGGGCAGCGCCGCTCGTCGGTGGAGCGCGGGCCGGGTGGACATCCCGGCCTTGTTGTCAGAGCTTCGGGGCAGGGGCCGTCTGGGCTTCCGAGGCGCTGGGCCCCGACAGGTCGTGGCCGGCAATGGGGGCAACCCGCGCTGCCCGCTGGGCAGGGGGGAGGAGGGGAGGAGGAGGGGAGCAGCAGCGTGACGACGACGAACGCGCAGTCGGGAGGCCCTGGGCCAGCGGGACGAAGCCAGTGGGCGGCTTGCAAGCGGGAGGGGGCGCAGCGGGCACGGAGCAGGGGGCGGGGGGTCGCTTGGCGATCCTCGCACATCTCAGCGCAGCTGGGTCCACCACGGAGGAGTTCTGCTCCTGGCGCCTGATTGCGGCCCCCCGTGCGCCACGACCGTGGTGACAGCACAGCTCATCTGGCCTCGGTGCCTCGTGGGGCGGGGAGCCAGCAGCCTCGGCCAGAGCAGGCCCCCCTTAAGTGGGCAGGGCAGCCCAGACCCCCGACGCCGTGATCTTCGTCACGATGTGGGCCCCAGTCGCCCTCTGCTCTTCGACTCCTCACGCTCCTCCTCGGCCCTCCCTCCCGCCTTGAGGACCCTGAGCTCTAGGTCGCGCCTAGCCCTCGCCTCTCCGAGCGAGGCCGACGTCGAGAGGTTCGTTACCGCGCGCGCGTCGGATCCGCCGTCGGTCGGCGCTGCTGGTGGCGCGGCAGGTCCCAGTCGACTGTGAGCCAATTGGCGTGCAGAACAGGCGGGGCAGCGCCAAGCACCCCAGGTCCCGCCAACCAGAAGTTAAGAATGAGAGCAGCGAGAACGAGGCTTGACCCTCCCCCCCTCTCCCCTGCTGCGATCCCTTCCCGTCTCGATGCTGCCCCCTTTCCCTCAGTCGCCGCCGTTCCCCACAATCCCGATGGTTGACCACACCGGCGCCTCGGCACCGCACGCCTGCACAGCAGCCCTGGGGGCAGCGCAGGGCCATACCTGGTTGCGTTGAGGTTGTGCCCTGCCTCTCTTTAATGCTATCCTCCCCTGCCGCCCACCGCCAGCTGACTGCTGCTTGCTGTGCGACCTATGCGGCCAATCCTCCTCCTCCTCCTCCACCTCCTCCTCCTCCTCCTCCTCCTCGGTCGCCATTTTGGTTCAAAATGCCAGGTGCCCCGCGGGACCCAACGGATACCGCGAGTCCGCGGCCAGTCCACGATCCCTTCAGGTCTGTCCACCCAGGTCTGGATCTTGCCTCACCAGCATGCGGCCAGACAAGAAGGACAAGAAAGAGAAGCAGCGGAAAAAAAGATGCCAAGCCTTCTGCCACTCCTGGCCGCGCTCGCCGTGGTGCCGACGCCGCCGACGGCCACGTGTCGGACATTTCGGTCGAGCCCACGCCACCCGCAACCCGGCGGCTTAGCAGGCGTCCGGGCAGACCCCGTGGTGGAGGAGACGACGTGGGCACACCTCCTCCTCCTCCTCCTCCTCCGCCTCCTCCTCCTCCTCCTCCTCTTCCTGCTCTTCCTCCTCCGCCTCCGCCGCCGCCTCCTCCTCCTCTTCCTCCTCGCGGTCACGGAGTGACAGAGGATCGAGGTCTCTCAGCGCTGGTCTTCGCCAGCCCAGCCCCAGTGGAGCCGCCCCCAAGCCGAACCTGCTCGAGGGTATCTCGCATATGGCCACCTTCGTGCGCGTCGCAGGACGTCGTGCAGCAGCCCCCTGGCGGGGGAGGGGTTTCCCTGGAGGACCCCCCCGCTCCACCTCCACGGACCTCTCCGCGCGGCGTCGGTGTGCTTCCGATCCGCCGTCCTTGTCTCAGGTCCCATGGGCCCAGTATCTTCGCGGCGCAACCTGAAGCGGAGGCCTTGCCCCGCAGATGTCTGATGTGCTTGAGCATGTCAAGAGTGACGTGATTTCCGAGATGTCGAGGGCCCCCGCTGAGTCGATCTCGCAGCTGGTCACGGTCCAATGTCCCAACATTCTCACGAGCGTCGTCGAGTTCTCGGCTGCCGCCCTGGACCAAACCATGCAGAGGCGCTTTCGCGAGCACCCGCGAACATAAGATGCTGGAGATCGAGAATCGCATTGGTCAGAAGGAGTCTGCACACCGTTCTGTGTTGGAGAGGTTTGAGACGTTTGAGAAGGAAGTGGACTCATCCAGTGCAGCTCCACGGCAGCCCATCGCGACTGGCAGTGGGCCGCCGACCCTGGCATCTTCGTCACCACGTGCCGCGAGGACGTCGGGCGCCACTTGGTGGAGGAGGCCATCTCAGAGGGGATGGTCGCTGCCAGCCACCAGATCGGTTCAGATTACGCAGTGGAGGGTGAGGAGCTCGGCAGAAGGTTCATCGTGCGCTTCCCTGGCATCCCTGCCACCTGCCCAGCGAGGGTTCGTCTGCTCCACGGCCTTTTGCCGGGCGCGCACGGGTTGTGGCGGTCGCTCAGTGTTCCGATGCCTGGCGGCCGCCGTGTCCATATCTTTGTTGATGTGGACCGCCACATTTGCGAGGTCGCTCGTGAGCGTAGCACCAAAGAACCTCCTGAAGGTGCGGGAATTCCTCGGCAAGCGTGCCTTCGTGGACAAGGAGGCGGGCGCCATCTCTGTCGACTGGGAGGTTCTCGCGCGAGTGGTGGTCGATGCTGTTGAAACCAGGCGAGTGCACTGGAATCTTGGTGCGATCAGTGATTATCTTTTTAATCGCACTGAACTCAAACACATCAACACCGACCAACTCGCCTTCAGCAGGCATTCTCCCGTAAGGCTGCGGTCATTAGTTCGTCCCTTGGCCCTCCTTCCATCGTTGCCCTTCAAGAAGATCATGGTCCTGGCAAAGCGGTGGCTGAGCTACTCGCGAGGGTTCGGGGGGAGGTCAAACTCTTCTCCCCCCCTGGAGCTCGCGGCTGTTTCTGCGCCATGATTCCGATACAGGTTTTGCCGCTCATCCACGTCGTGCCCGGTGAAACTGTTGCAAGCAGGGTTCTTTGTCTCAAGTTTCGGCGCCGCGTGACGGAATTCTTCTGGAGCTGCTGGAATGTTCATATTCACGGTAGGTCTGCAGCTGAATTCGAGAGAGATCAGGCTTCCGCGCGGCTGCCAGCTCCTCATCGAAGGATTCTAAAACCTCAGCCCCCGTCTCTTCTCCGCCCGATGCCTCCTCCTCCGCCTCTGCTTCGTGCCCGCAGGGCTTTCTGCGGGGACGCCCCATGATTGGCAGCCTGTTCGTGACTCCGGCAGGCAGCTTCCTGTGGGATCTGCACAGGAGCGCCCCGGTCCCAGAGCATATAGCCATGTCAGAGCTTGGAGGGAGGAGGAGGAGGAGGAGGACGAGGAGGAGGAGGAGGAGGAGGAGGGCGGAGATGCTTTATCTCCAAAGGCTACCGCGAGATCGCCAGAGTGTTTCGCACTGCCGAAGCCCTCGGCGGCCTCGCCCCCACAGCTTCGAGGTGCTGCGTCGCCCCGTCTCTCTCGGTCGCCGATGAAGATCTGAAAGCCTAGCTTAGGGACCTGCTTCGCTGTGCCAATCCTGCCTCCCCCGGGTGGGGTCATCCCACCTAGCTCAACTAAATGGGAGGAGTTCGACGTCGCGGCCGAGGTTCTGTACCTGGATTTCTGGCTTGGCCCTGGTGTCGACCCTGATCGGAGTCTTCGGGCCCCTCTCAATAAGATGGCGGTTCGCACTCGAGGGAACGTCGAGGCTTGCCAGGATCGACTGTGCTCCAGTTGAATCAGCAGTGGGCCCTATCAGTCCCCGCCCACGTTTCCCAGCTCGTCCCCTCCCCTAGGTCCCGTGCCCAAATTGAAACACAGTTCATCGCGCTGGTGTTTCATGGGCCGATGTCTGCCATTCGATGCCTCGACCTGTTTGTCCTGGAGCAGATGCAAGGACCGCGCGTAAGATCGCTGTGCGTCACTGCCGCCGCTGCCGCCACGCGCACTGCCCTCGTCTTCTTTCTGAAGTGGCCCCAGACGATGCACATTCTCCGCAATGGCCTCCGCTCCAGAGGGCACATGGCGCTATGGCGATCTCGAATTATGGCCCCTGTCTTCTTGAGGTCGGAGTCCCTCGTTAGGTGTCTCGAAGCCACTGCTCTCGGATTTCCTGAGGGCCCGAGGTTGTGCGCGGGCGGGTGGGTGGGGGGCGGTGGGGGGGGGGCTCTTGCGAGGTTCCGTCCGGGGGAAGAGGGTCCACGACAGAAGTGGCATCGCACTTTTGCGTCTGAGCTGCAGTCCGCCGCATTCGGATTGCATCTCGTTCCACTGCTTGGGCGCAGGCTGAAAAGACTGTTCCTTCCCAGTTCGGAGGAGGGCATGGCGAGCTGGGCTGCCAATCGAAGTGCCATGGCCCAGGTCCCCCCCTCAAAGACCGCCTGTGTCTTTCGTGCTCATCTAGGCGCCTGGATCACTGGCGCGAGAATACAGCGTTCCCAGGCGTGTGCGTTTGGCCGCGAGGGTGCTTCCCAGGCGTCGCTCAACCACTACGTCTGCCAGTGCGCTCGGCCGGCTCCGCCATCGCGCCGCTATCCTTCTCCGCTCTCCGACCTTCCGGCCTCCACGCTGGTTAGGCTCGGCCTTCGGGACAAATTCGCCCACAGTGGGGCCTGCTATCGTATCGTCTGTCTCGCTTCCGCCCGTCAGGATGGCTGGTCTTCTGCCCTCTCCTACTCCGAGGCTCCTGAGCTCATCCCCGCTGCGGGGGTCGCTGTCCGCCTCCATTCGAGCGGCGGCAGAGAGAGCTGCTGGACGCCAGCTAGCTGCGGCGCCTCGCCATCGAGGCCCGCACCGATGACCTCGAAGTCTCTTTCTTTTTTCCATCCTGACACCGCTGCAGCTCGACCCAGACTTCTGTTGAACGCTTTGCCTCCTCCTCCTCCTCCTCCTCCTCCTCCTCCTCCTCCTCTGTCGCTCTTCCTCCTCTGTCGCTCTTCCTCCTCCTCATCTGCTCCTCCTCCTTCTCCTCCTCCTCCTCTTACTTCTCCTCCACGTGCTCCTTCCCCTCCTCCTCCCCCTGCTCCTCCTCCTCCTTGTCCTCCTCCTCCTCTTCCTCCTCCTCCTCCTCCTCCTCCTCCTCCTCCTCTTCCTCCTCCTCCTCCTTCTCCCCCTTCTCCTCATCACCATCATTATGTTCCTCATGCGGTTCCCCATTCTGCTCCTCATGTTGCTTCGCCTTCTCCGCGCACCCCTTGGAGGTCATCAAGAAGATCCCCGCTAAGCTGCAGAAGCTGCTGGAGGACATCGCGGTGAGGATCGCTCCGTTGAAGGCCGCTGGTGGAGAGGATTAGAGATCGAAGGGGGAGGACGAGGAGGAGGGAGACGGCCGCTCCCCGCCTGGACCCTCGATCCTCGATCCTCGATCTTCTTCCTCCCCCTCCTCTTCCTCCCCCTCCTCCCCCTCCTCCCCCTCTTCAAAAAAATACACACATCCCTGACCCTCCCTCGACCCCCTCGGTCCTCGACCCTCCACCCTCAGCAGGAGCTGATCTCGGCTGGAGCTGACGGCCCCACCCTGAGCCGCCCGGCGCCAGGACTCTGGCACGACGTGGACCCCCGGAGGTCTGGACCCCTTCGTCCTGGTTGCGGAAGGCCGAGATGGTAGGGAAAGGTATCAACCCCAAGACGGGGGCACCGTTGCCCCCAGTGGCCTGAATTTTTCAGCGCTATTCCTGAGGCCTCGCCTCCCCCGCCCGCCATGCGTGGCTAGGGGTTTCGTGTGTTCCAGGGCTCTCCGGTTTTTTCGGAGAACCTCTGCAGGCTGCTTGCCCCCGAAGGTCTGGACCCCCAGAGGTCGAGGTCCGGACCCCCTGAGGTCTGGACCCTTCCCGGTTCTTCATATTCTGGGTCGTTTTGACAGCCGCGCGGCCCGGGGAGGGCCCGCGGAGTCCGAACCTAGCAGCAAACTCGCGGTTGTAGTTTTTCCATGCCCCGAGGGGTTCTGGGGCCGAGGGTCAAAAGTCGACCCCCGTACCTCTCCTGGAGCGCGCTCCGAACAGAACTTCAGAGCGGATCCAGCCGCGAGGACGAGGAGGCCCATAAGGCTCAAAGCACTGAGAGATGTGGATTCTCGGACCCTGGTCCTCGAAGTTCGATCCTCGATCCTTCCTCCTCTTCCTCCTCCTCCTCCTCCTGCTCTTCCTCCTCCTCCTCCTCCTCCTCCTCCTACATTATCCTCCTCCTCCATCCTCCTCCACCTCCGTCTCCTCCTCTTCCTCCTGCTCCTCCTCCTCCTCCTCCTCCATCCTCGTCCTCCATCCCATTCCTCGCCGCCCCCTGAGGGTGCCGCCCCTTGCAGGCTCAGGGGAAGTCGCACAAGCCCCGCCTCCAGCCGCATGGCCCGGGCATCCAGTCGCACTGCAACGCGCTGGAGTCGCAGATCAAGCGGGAGGACTGGGGGGGCCGTGGCGGCGAGGGGGGGAGACGTCGGTTTCCACAATTCTTTGGGTCGTTCGTATGACACGGGCGAGTCGTGCTCGTGATGCGTGAGGATCGTTCGCACGAGAAGGCGGGCTGTTCTAACGACAGCTGTGATTGCGACGGTTGTTCCCAAGGGCCGGCCGAATCATGAGGACAGCTTCGTGTGTTTGCCGCATGAGCGGCGCAGAAGCTGCCACGCTGCACAAACGACGTGCGCCAATCGCTGGAAGAGCGAAGCGCTGCAGGCGAGCAGGAAGAAGGAGAGGAGGAGGAGGAGGAGGAGGAGGAGGAGGAGGAGGAGGAGGAGGAGGAGGAGGTTTGAGCGCCCTCTGGGGAGAGCGGTGGTGCAGGAGCTTAGGTGGAGGCCCGGACCAGGAGCTGCAGGCGGTGGAGGTGCTGCGCTCGCCTGCCATCCCGCGGCGAGGGCCTCCGAGCTCTCTCCGTGCCGCTCGCCGCCGATCCCGCGGGGGTGACGCCTCGGCACCCACTGGCGTCCGCCGACGGGCTCCGACGAGACTCGGGCACGCGCAGAGGGGGGCAGGGGGAGGGGGGAAGGCTTCTGAGAGGCGCCCCTGCCTCTTAGCAGGCGCGGGCCTTCGCGCCCTCTAAGGAGCAGCCTCCTTCTAAGGAGCAGCCCTCTAAGGAGCAGGCTCCTTCTACGAAGGAGCAGCGCCCTCTAAGGAGCAGGCCTCTAAGGAGCAGCGCCTACTAGACGCAGGGCCAGCGCCCTCTAAGGAGCAGCCTCCTGCTGAGAAGCCTTCCCCCCTCGCCCTGCCCCCCCTCTGCGCGCCGCCAAGACACGGGAGTGCGTGCCCCGCGGCCTGCCTGAGAAGGGGAGGAGGCCTGAGGTTCGATTGAGCCTGTGGTGAAGTCGGGCACGTCCCTCGATGACGGTCCCCGCGTTCCTCCTCCTCCTCCTCCTCCTCCTCCTCCTCCTCCTCCTCCTCCTCCTCCTCCTCCTCCTCCTCTTACCCCTCCTCCCTACCGTCCGCATGCGTCCCGCACACCCAGTGCAGCGTTTCGTGGCCCCATCGGGAGCCCCACCGAAGGTCCCAGTGCTACCGTCCGCATGCGTCCCGCACACCCAGTACAGCGCTTCGTGGCCCCATAGGGAGCTCCACCGAAGGTCCCAGTGCTACCGTCCGCATGCGTCCCGCACACCCAGTTCAGCGTTTCGTGGCCCTTCTCCCCCTCCTCCCTGCGTTTCACCCACCCAGCACAGCGTTTCGTGGCCCCATGAGAGCCCCACCGAAGGTCCCAGTGCTACCGTCCGCATGCGTCCCGCACACCCGGTACAGCGTTTCATGGCCCCCCAATTGGCATTTTCACACCCAGTGCAGCGTTTCGTGGCCCCATATGGGGGCTCCACCCAAGGCCCCAGTGCCACCGTCCGTATGCGTCCGGGAAATGTAATTTGGCATTTTCACCCGCGCAGTGCAGCGTTTCGTGGCCCCGTAGGGGGCTCCACCGAAGCCCCCAGTGGGACCGTCCGCATGCGTCCCGGTAACCCAATTTGGCATTTTCACTCACTCAGTAGAGCGCTTCGTGGCCCCATAGGGAGCTCCACCGAAGCCCTCAGTGGGACCGTCCGCACGCGTCCCGGAAACCCATTTCGACACACCACCCACACAGTACAGCGTTCCCCCTGGCCCAGTGCAGCGCTTCGTGGCCCCATAGGGAGCTTCACCGAAGCAGATATTCATACTTACGGTACCCACAACTGCATATGGTTGGGACCTTCGCCAGGATAATTTGATGTGCAATCGTTTGAAATATTTGTTGACGAGCTTCCATTTTTCGCCCAAAATCCGCCCGTCGGGGGACAGGCCCGACCTGAGGACAGGCTCTGGGGGGGGGATTCGATGCTGACTGACCCTGACCTGACTCCCCTGACCTTCCAGAGTGCTAAGAAATAGCCCTCCAGACCTATAGACCTATCTAGACTGTCCGAAACCGCGACAGGAGTTCACGTAGGCGCCAAAGTCCTGGTGCTATTTCTTAGCCCTCCCAGAAGGTCAGGGTCTGCCCCCCCCTCCTCCTTCTTGTCCTCCTCCTCCTCCTCCTCCACCTCCTCCTCCTCCTCCTCCACTCCTCCTCCTCCTCCTCCTCCTCCTCCTCCTCCTCCTCCTCCTCCTCCTCCTCCTCCTCCTCCTCCTCCTCCTCCTCCTCCTCCTCCTCCTCCTCCTCCTCCTCCTCCTCCTCCTCCTCCTCCTCCTCCCCCCTCGACGTCGCCCTCGCCGCCAGAGCGGCTCTGCGCCTGGCCCGCGGCCAGCCCGCGGCTGCGCCCGGCGCCCATGCAGCGCTGCGACGGCCCGCGGCCGCTCCCGGCGCGGCCGGCCACCGCTCCACAGGCCTACGAGCGGAGCGGCCAAGAGGGGGGGCCGCTCCCTACCTAGACCCCCTCGAGTCATGAAACAATCACGACGAGAGGTTTTTCGGTGTTTTCGGCCTCCCGGGAGCCCTTACCGGCCCTCAGGACCGTCAAAAAACGACTCGGGATGAAAAACCCGTCCCAGGGAATGGGTCTGGACCTCTGGGGGTCGCGTCATGAAAAAATCGTGACGTCGGGGGCCTGGGTACGAGCGGAGCGGTCAAGAGGGAGGTTCCCCATGCATTGGCCCCCTTCCGTGCCCCTCTCGGGCCCCTCCGGAGCCCCAGGGGGCTCGTTTCGGTACCCTTTGGGTACCTTTTCGAGCCACCCTCGCCACCCCCCCCATTGATGATCCCCCCAGTACGCGACCCTGGGGACCGGCCAAGAGGGGGGTGTCCACCAAGAGGGGGGGGTGCAAATCATGACCGGCGGCATGTGCGCGGCCCAGCGGGTGGGCCAGGGACGTCATGAAATAATTCGAGGCGCCATGAGACCTGGGGAAAGATCATAGCCCCCGCCATGATATCCTCCCCCCTAGTCATCACCCCCCTCTTTTCTGCCCCCGATACGAGCGGCGGACACATCCTTCAGTCGGGCACGTCCCTCCACAGGGGGAATGTTCCCAGATAGTAGAAAAATAGTCAGGGCAAAAGTTCTTGGCAGTGTCAAATTGTTGGTGGCTATTTGTTTATGCACTGTTCCGTGTTTCGCCCAAAATCCGCCTGTAGGAGGACATGCCCGACCTAAACATACCCGTATCCGCGTCTCGCGGTCGCGTTCCCGCGGGTAGGCTTTCGCACGGATGCGTTCCGTGCGGGGCATGCCCCGTATCCGCGGGGTCGTGGCCCAAGGTCTTGGCCCGCCAGGCCGTGGACACGGATACGTTTGTCATCCACGGATAGCAGACCGCGCCGCCGCCGCCGCCGCCAGCCCAGGTGTTGCCAGAGGCATACTTGGGCCAGGGTGGCCCCAGGAGTTTCAAGGGAGGCTTGCTCCGAGACCCGGGCGCTGCGCTTTGTGAACGACGGGCGTTTCCGTACTGCTTCGGGCTTTGGGGCCCTCACAGATCGATGCGGCTCGAACAACCACGCACGAAGATGGGGTCTAGGGGTCCGTTTGTTGACTTCACGCGATGGCGCAAGTTTCTGGCAACGTCAGAGCTGAGAGTGGATGGCTTCCAGAGCACCTCCTCATGAGGCCCAGAGGTCCCCGGAGAGGCCCCAGAGTGGCGCGAACAGTCGGGAGCACCTCGGGCCAAGGATTACTTCTGGCAACGCCCGGCCAGCCAGCGGGCGCGGGGCGGTCGGCGGCAGACGCGGCGTGCTGGCGCCGCTGACCGCGGCAACGGCCTCCAGCGGCGGCGCTGCCCGCGCCGCGGCATCGCTGGCAGCGCCAGCGGGCGGCGCGGGCGGCACGCGAGAGGGGAAGGCCCGACGATCAAGGGAGGAAAAACATAGAGGGTGCAAATTAAGTCTGGCGGTTTTTTGGGCACCCTCCCTATGCATTTATTTGTAAATAGGAATTCTGTTGTATTCCGCTACAAAGGAAATCCTTTTTGCATTCCGCTACAAAAGGAATCCCTTTGTATTCGGCCACAAAGGGAATCCCTTTGTATTCCGCCACAACGGAAATCCTTTTGTATTCCGCCACAAAAGGAATTCTTGTGTATTCCGCCACAAAAGGAATCCTTTTGCATTCCGCTACAAAAGGAATTCCTTTGTATTCGGCCACAAAGGAAATTCGTGTGTTTTCCGCCAAAATGAAAATCCTGTTGTACTCCGCCGCAAAAGGGATTCCTTTGTATTCCGCCACAAAAGGAATCCCTTTGTATTCCACTACAAAAGGAATTCCTTTGTATCCCACCACAAATGGAATCCGATTGAAATGACTATGGTAATTGAAAACCATGGCCAGGCACAGCTATCACAGCATTTTTATTTAAAAACATTTAAGAAAACCATAGCCAGGCACAGCTATCACAGCTTTTTTAATCGAAAATATTGGGAAAACCATGGCCAGGCACAGTTATCACAGCTTTTTTAATTTGATTTTCCAATTATGGAAGTTAATTTCAAACGCTGTGAAAACACATGGTTTTCTTTGATTTTCGAATGACAAATATAAGGGAACCCTGTGTTTTCACAGTTTTTTTTAATTAACTTCCATAGCTTGAAAATCATGTCATAAGCTGTGATAGGTGTGCCTGGCCATGATTTCTTAATATTTTGAATTAAAAATGCTGTGATAGCTGTGCCTGGCCATGAAAATACAATATTTTGTTAACAAAAGCTGTGATAGCTGTGCCTGGCCATGATTTACAACTATTACATTAATTTCAACAGGATTCCCCTTGTTGCCGAATACAACGGGATTCCTTTTGTAGCGGAATACAAGAGAACTCCTTTTGTGGCGGTATACAACAGAATTTCCTTTGCTGCGGAATACAAAAGATTTCCTTTTGTGGCCGAGTATTAAGGGATTATTTCTGTAGCGGAATACAAAGGATTTTTTTGTGGCGGAATACAAAAGGATTTCTTTTGTGGCGGAATACAAAGGGATTCTTGTTGTGGCCGAATACAAAGGGATTTCTTTTGTAGCGG